GCCCAGCGAGTGTCCGGCTCTCCAGGCGGAGCAGGTGCTCAGACGCTGCTGCCGGCCACTGGCTGAGCGCTGGGTCCTGCTCTACACACTTGTCCTGAAAACCCGCAGACAGCTGTCACCTTCCTTATGGGGGAGAAATTAGTTCAGAGGAAGGTCTGGGCCACATAAGGCCAGTTACCAGGGCTGATAATTGTAGGAGCCAGCCACGGTAACGGTCTTCACATGCCATACAGGTGAGAAGAAATGAAATAAAATGGATTTTGAGTCAAGGCTTGAAAAGGGAATGGGCTAGTAAGGAAGGGGACTAACAGTGTGTTCTTCTGAACTTTCTCTCCATCCCCATCCGTTACACTCCTCTCCACGCTCACTCACTGACTGGCCAACTCTCCCTTCCACCCAACATCCCCACACAGAGTAGAAAGCACCAACCAAAATCAAAATAGTGTTATTAATTCTGGTGTCTCCGAAGCACGGAAGAAAAAAAGGAACAGAAACCACCCTTCCCACACTCAGCCCGGTCCCGGCCCTGCAGGCAGTGCGGCCAGAGGCCCAGTCCTGGCCGCAGGCTGAAGCGGGACCAGCCCATGGTTTGGCTCTGGGCCCGGCTGGGAGGCTCCTGCCTCAGTTTGGGAGTCCAGGCCCTGGACTCGGGTTGAGAGTCAGGGGTCAGGGTGAGAGTTCTGGGCCACTTAGTCTGGCGCTCTGGCTAAGGCGACCAGAGGTCAGGTTCAGCCGTGGACGGAAGCCAAAACCCTTGGTCCTGTGGTCCAGCGGAGGCCGAGGCCATGGTCCAGGTGACTGCGTCCGGCGGGATCCAGCGCGGGCGCTCAGTACTGATGGTCCAGCAGGGGCTGGGCGGCGGGGCTCTCCCGCTCCTCGGAGGGGGCAGGCCAGGCTCCCGGGGCTCCCGGGGGTGTGCCGCCCTCGGGAGCACTGCTGTCCAAGCAGGGGACGTCCCGGGCTGCTCTGGGGGGTGAGGCGTCGGTGCTGATGTCCAGGCTGAAGCTGAGGTCTAGGGGCGCCTGGGGGAGGGCAGACAGGTTGGTAGAAGAAACCCGAGCTGCCCAGAACCCAGTCCTCCCACAGGATCCTTACCTGAGACTTGGGGGTGCCTTCTTTGGGGCTCCCTGAGGCTGGCTCCCCCTCGGGTCCCCCTAGCCCCTTCCGACCCCCCAAGCTCCACTTCCCACTGGGACCTTCGGAATAGAGACCAGGGCCAGGGGGCCTTGAGGGCCGGGGACCCTCAGTGGGGGCAGGTGAAGCGGGGGGCTGTCCAGGGAGCCGAGGGGGTGGCCACTGCAGCAGAGGAGGGGGGCGGCCATCACCAGAACTGCTAAGGGAGGGCCTCGGGCCCCAGCCAGCGCCTGGCGGGAGGAGCTGGTCGCCACTGCCTGTGGAAGACAGATAAGAGGGCAGAGACTCAGCCAGGCCGGCCCGGCCCCTCGCTCACTGGCTCGGCCTGGCCTCGGGCTCACCTGCCGTGTTCTCGGGCGTGGGGTGCGCCAAGGGGGGGTTATTGCTGAGGGCAGTCAGGCCGCCGCCTCCGCCACAGTCTGAGTCGTCTACGTTCCCGCCACTATTGCAGCCGGCACCGCAGCCCTTGTGAAGCCTGGGGGGAGGCGAAGAGGTTGGTGGAAAGGCCAGAGGCCTCACAAACGGAAGTGCTCAGTTCGGGACAAGCCTCTGACATTCCTGAGCCCTGGGGTGCCGTCTGCTCTCCGGGATCTGTCAGGAAGGCATTCCCCACGGCTCGCAGGCTAAAGGCCAGCTTCGGCTGGGGGCTGGGGTGGAGCCAAGTCAGCTCTGGGAAGGGGTCAGCTCTTGGCTCCATCCTGGCTCCAGCACTTCCTCCCCGAGACCCTGGAGGAAGTGGCTTCATCTCTCCGAGCCTCAGCTTCCTGCCGGTGAACCAGCCCCCAGGCGGGGGCGGGGGTGGGAGGTGGAGGGGCAGCGAGGGCTCACCTTTCCCAGCTCTGCAGAAGCCAGCGGGCAATGGCGCCCAGGCTGACGGGGCCCCCCCACAGCGCCCGCAGCTGGGGGTGGCTGCCCGCCAGGGAGGTGGTGAGGGGCGACACGTAGATGGGGTAGCCGAGGGGCTGGTCGCAGGAGGAGTTGATCATGTTGCGGAGCGCCTGCTTGGCGTTCTGGATGCTGCCGCGCTCCGGGTTGCGGTTGCGCAGGAACACCAGCTCCTGCTGCTGCCCGGCCCACAGGCCGCGCACGCACTCCCGGTTCACCTGCGGAACAACGCAGGGTCAGGGCTGCGGGGGACGGGGCCGGGGGGCTGCGGGAGACAGGGTCAGGGGGCTGCGGGGGGACAGGGCAGGCCAGGGGGCTGCGGGGGGACAGGGCAGGCCAGGGGACTGCAGGGGGACGGGGTCAGGGGGCTGCGGGGGGACGGGGTCAGGGGGCTGCGGGGGGACGGGGTCAGGGGGCTGCAGGGGGACAGGGTTGTGGGGCTGCAGCGGGACAGTCCGGGCAGGGCCGGGGCGGTAGCCCACCTTGATGACGCGGAAGCTGAGGTGGCGCCGGTTGAGCATGATGATCTTGTACTCGTCGGAGGCGTCGTCCAGCACGTGGCGCAGTGCCAGCAGCGAGGGCGTGTTGCTCAGGATGGCACTGCGCCAGGCCGGGTCGCCCTCGTGCGAGATGACCAGCCGCTCCTCGTTGGCGGCGATGGCGTCGTACAGGGCGGCGGGCTCCTCGTACTCGTCCGGGGACGTGAAGTGGTCCTGCGGGAGGAGCAGGGGGCAGGTCAGGGCCGGCCTGAGCGGCTGCAGCCCCCCCCCTCTGCTCGGGCCGCCCCTCCCACCTGGTGGAGCTTGAGGGCCATGCGGACCCCGGGGGCCACCACGCGGTGCAGCAGGTCCATGTCGGCGAAGACCCACTCGTCCCGCGGGGAGGTGATGCGGAAGTCGCCCTTGAAGAGGGCATGCAGGCCGTACAGGAAGGGCTCCAGGCTGGGGAGGGGCCGAGGTGAGCCTGGGCTGCCCAGCTCCGGCTCCAGGCTGGGGAGGGGCGAGGTGAGCCTGGGCTGCCCAGCTCCGGCTCCATGGGCAGCGGTCTAAGCTGAGGCCGTTCGTCATTCTGGGCCTCAGTTTCCTCGCCTGGACAAGGTCAGTTTCTGCCCAGTCCCTCCCAGGGAGGTGAGGAGCACAGGTCACGACTAGGGGGTGCCTTGCCCACTAGAGAGCCGCACTGAAGGAAGACCAGAGGAGCCTCCTGCTGGCCTCTGGCCTGGAACTCTCCGTGGGGGGGTGGAGGGGTGACAGGCCCCCGGACGGGGCACTCACCTGGCAGACATGCTGTGCGAGGCGGTCCCCAGGGCCCGGCGGCCCAGCACGCAGAGGCCGAAGCACAGAGTGACCAGCGGCGAGTTCCAATCCTGATCCACGGGCTGTGGCACAAGGACCCCCATCCCCCGAGCCCAGCTCAGACCTGGGACGGAACGTGGGTTGGGTGGGGCTGAGGGTGAGGAGACGGCCCCGGGGAGCGGGGACAGACCTGGCTGCGCCGGGAGGCGCAGTACTGGATCCACTCCAGGTGCACGGCGCAGAAGGAGGGCAGCGAGAGGCCCGAGAGGCGCAGGTCGTAGTCCTCGTCCACGCTCAGGGAGAAGGTGGGGTCCGAGTCGGCGTAGCCGGGCGCCCGGACGGGCCGCAGCGCCGCCGCGATGCCCTCGTGGCTCAGCCACGCCTCCAGCTTGGGCGAGCGGCTCACGTAGTAGATGATGCTCTGAGAGGAGGCCCGGCGTCAGGGCGGGGCCCGTGCCCGGCAGTGCCTGGGCCTGGGCGGGCGCTGCTGCGGGAGAGCCCAGGGACAGGGGCTTCTCCCGGACGCTGAGCCCTCTGAGCCACAGGCAAATCTGCTCTCCCCTGGGCCACGCAAGCACCCCTCCTTAGCGCGGCCTGGGAGGGCCCTGCACCGTGGCAAACGCTTGCTTCAGAAGATGCCCCATGTGTGAGGGAGACGGAGGCTCGGACAAACCGCAGACCTGCCTACATTCACACAGCAGGGTGACTGAGGTGAGGTGGGATCCCAGGACCTTCAATCCCATGATGCCATGGGGCCCAGGCCCCAGAAGCTGGGAAGGCGGGCTGAGTGAGTGGGGCTGCCCACAGGCCAGTGCATGACAGCCACAGGACCTACCCCCAGAAACAAACCATCCTGCGCCCAGTCAGGGCCGCCGGACCCCTGAGAGCCTGCTGGGCCAACGGAGGAGCCACGCTGAGGGGCCCCTCAGCTCAGTCATGGCGGCGGGAACGGAAGCAGCACCGTTTCCCTGGGGCTGAGGGAGGAGGGGGCAGGCTGGAGAGGGCTGGCTGCCCCTGCACCCGAGGAAGGCTACCAGCAGCCTAAGGCGTGAGCGGGCAGCATGGCTATGAGGTCACTTTGGGCTCCAGGCAGACCAGTTCCTGGCTGACCATCTCCGCAGGCTGGGCCCATAAGCCTCCAAGCACCAGAAAATGCGGGAGGGGCGGGCCTGGCACAGTAAGGGCTGCCCACCGGCCTCCGTGCTACTGCCCCCGGCCAGCCTTCTGAAGCAGTGCTGAGGCGGGCACCCAGCCTGCACAGCCCGGGAGGCCTCTGCTTCCCGCGGGCACAACAGGCCCCACACGGGAGCGGGTGGGGTGCCCGGCGGAGCGGCCGTACCTTCACGTAGTAGGTGATGAGGATCTTGCGGAGGTCGAAGACCTGCAGCATGGAGGCGGCGTTGTTGTCGCTGATGCTGTAGCCCTCCAGCACGTACTTGCTGGCTGTCACCTCCCAGGCCAGCCAGCGCTGCCCGAAGGCGGCGTTGAAGGACAGGACCCGCGGCAGGTGGCCGGGCTCGCAGCAGCAGCAGCCCTCGTCCTCCTCCACGCCCTCGGTGATGGCCTCCACCTCGCGCTGCTGGCAGTACGTGCCTGCGGGGAGCGCCCGTTCAGAGGACCCCAGGCCCTCCTCCCAGCGAGTGCGCAGGGGTGGCACAGTCACCCTCCCAGCGGGGTGCTGTGTGCGTGAGCTGACTCCAGGGGCACATGGGCGGCAGGGGAGGGCGCGGGCTCTGGTCCCTCTCAGAGACACTGACGCTCACAGAGAAGGAAGGGGCTTTGCTCAGGGTGACGAGCTTAGATGCCTGTGCACTGTCCGCGGCCGCTTTGAAGCGGGTATCCAGTGTGTGCGTCTCTCTGTGGGGAAGAAGCTAGTTCACCAGTGGCGCGATGTGTGGCACCCAGCCTGGGCCACGGCCACGGCCACGGCCACGGGGCAGGCCAGCAGGCACTGGCGGGAGAACGCAGAGCTCCAGGCCCAAGCCTTCGCCACGCAGCCCGCTCAGTCACATCAGCCCCAAAGGCCCGGCAGGGACAGCCGTGGCCAAAGGAGACCCTGCCACCCACTGCCCAGCCCAGCAAAGCCAGGAAGGAAGAGTGCCTTGCTCAAGGTCACCCGGAAAACGGCAGAGCTGACTGGCACCAGCCTGCACACACTGTGACACAGCAGCTCACCCCGGAACTCCAGGCCACGCAGCTGGAAGGTGACGAGGCCGTTGCCGACCTCGATGAGGTGCACCAGGGCGTTGAGGTAGTCGGAGGCCAGCACGAAGCAGTCCCCGGGGCCGTAGTTGCCCCAGCGGCCCAGCACCAGGTCCCCGCACAGCGTGTGCTGAAGCGAGCGCGTCAGGTGCTCGTAGAAGATGGAGTTGAGGTTGTTGTCATCGGCGCCTGGGACCCAGCACAGACAGGAAGTGGACAAGGTGACAAGTAAGCGAGGCTTCTCCTCAGGAGACCCACTGGAAAGCCCCGGGTGGCTGTACGCACCGGGGTTCCGGTCCAGCTGGGTGACCAGGCGGGTGTTGGAATGATCCACACGTTTAGTGCTGTTTGAGGAGAGGGACAACACGGTGACCTCAGGTGGCAGTCCCGCCGGCCCCCTCACGTCCCGCTGACCCCCCCACGCCCGGGCCCATGCCAGCGGCACCGTCACTTAGGAGGAGGCCGAGACTCAGGGCGGAGGACTCACCCCGGACCATGTGCCAAGAAGCCCAGGGAGTGGGCCCGAGGCCTGGGTTTTGCCCTCATCGGACCACCCACCTGAAGCCCACTCTGCCCGGCACCCCGCCCACCGCAGGGCCCCAGCTGCCCCCACCCTGCCTCAGGCAGCAGCCCGCCTCCGGGCCCTTGGGGTGAGGTGCCGTCTCCCCCAGACTCACTTGTAGTCGCGCTCCCAGAACTTGAGGGGCCGCGCGTAGGACATGATGAAGACGGCGCTGCCCAGCAGGGGGTTGAGGGGCGTGGAGAAGAGCGCCGAGAGCAGGGCCTGGACGAACAGCATGGCCGAGTCTGGGCGCGACGAGTCAAGGAGGCGGCCAGGACGTTGGACCCTCCCGCCCCCCCACCCCCTTCAACCCGCCAATCCATCCCGGGCACCCCATCCCGAGCCACGGTCCTCTCTGCACCCCCACCAGGAGCGAGCGTAGGCCAGGTACGTGGCACGGCGAAGGGCTGGGCGAAAGCGTGGAAAGCCGAGCCCCAGGTGATCTGCCAGGGCGCGATGTAGGTCAGCACAAAGCGCAGCTTGTACAGCAGGTCCCACAGCTGCAGGGTCAGAGGGAGAAGGTCAAAGACATGAGGTCACTCACAGAGTGGGGTCTACCAAGTGCCCACTCAGAGCCTTGGCGCATCCCACTGGCTGCCCACATGGGAGTCAAGCTCAAGTTCACTCCCAGCCCTCTCTCTGGACCTGGCTCAAAGCCCTTGTTACCATTAGCAACCACACTGAGGGGCACTTAATTCATTCAACCACTCGAGAGCTTTCCATTGCAGACTCCCTTCACAGCCGGAAGCTGAGGTTCAGAGGACGGAGCGCGGAACAGGACTGGCTCAGGCCATCCCTGTCAGTGAGGAGGCTGGCCTCGACTATGGGACCAAAGTCAAGACGCAGTCACAGGCGCTGCGCTCAGAGGAGACGGCTGGCTCCCCGTCACCATGGGCCAGACCAGACCAGGCCAGAAGGCCCAGCGAGCAAGAGGCTTGGGCCCACGCAGCCGCACGACGGCAGGACCCAGGGCAGAGCCAGGACCAGTGGTTTGTTCACTGTGAGCCCAACTCAGAGAGGGTTTGTTGTTGTTTTAGTTCTTCTTTAAAATATTTTTATTGATTTTAGAGAAGGAGAGAAATAGAGAGACAGAAACATCAATGATGAGAGAGAATCATTGATCGGCTGCCTCCTGCACACCCCCCACTGGGGATCAAGCCTACAACCCAGGCCTGTGCCCCTGGCCGGGACTCTTCAGTCCGCAGGCTGACGCTCTATCCACTGAGCCAAACCTGCTAGGGCTGCAACTCAGCTCTTAACTGGGCTCCAGGGCTGTTGCTGCCAAGGGGCAGAGCTCAGAGGTCGGTGTCCGAGAACAAGGCCAAGACCCATCTACTGCTTACAAGACGGGTGGAGAGGTATCGTCATTCAGAGGAAGACCGGGATTCACATGTGGGTGGGGCCCAGCCAGTGTGGCTCCGTGGTGGAACATTGATCTATGGACCATGAGGTCTTGGGTTCAATTCCCAGTCAGGGCACATGCCCAGGTTGCAGGCTCGATCCCTAGTGTGGGGTGTGCAGCCAGTTGACGCTACTCTTTCTACCCCTCTCCCTTTCTCTCAAAAATCAAATAAATATATCTGTGTGTGTGTGTAAATAAACACAAAAAATAGCTGGCCACCAATCTCTCGGGGACCTGAAGCAAATCACTTACCCTGTTAGACCACACCTTCCTCTTGGCCCCTCTAGAAGCTGCCGGAAGGCCACAGCGGTGAGTGGGACGGCAGCTAGAGGGGCGCAGGCCTGAGGAGTCACCTCCAGCCCGCACCGAGGCACAGCTCGGCTGCCCACCCCGCCCGGAGCCCCGTGCGGCTCACCTTGCTGCACAGCAGGGACATGAGGAAGTAGTCGAGCAGAAAGCCCTGGGAGAGGCGCGGGTAGTCGAAGTGGAAGAGCAAGACGGTGAAGGCCAGGGTCAGGTACTGCTGGGGTGGACAGCAGAAGGCCGAGCGCAGCAACTTCAGCCCGGCCACGGTCATCAGCAGCGCCCGGCAGCTACGGGGGAGGGGCAGGCACTGTGTCAGTTGCCTGGCGGGGTGGGGGTGGGGGAGGGGTGGGGTGGAGAGGGGCGCTCAGGGGACAGTGGCTGGGCTGTCTGGGCTCTCTGGGCTGGCCCTGCTCTTTGGGCCCATGACACTTGGTCTCTGCCCTCTCAGGGTCCCCCTCCTTAGACCTATCTGGGAGACACACTGCTTTCCAGGAGGCAACTGCTCCGGGGCAGGGAGGGAGGGGCTGGGTCCTCCCTTCGCCTGCGGGCAGAGCAGGCCCGTTTCCTCTGGCCCAGTCCAGAGCAGCCGGCGGCGGGCGGTCCTCACTAGAGGCAGAACTTGTCCGGGTGGCTGACCACCGTGTGGGCGTCCACGGTGAGGGCGTTGAGCACCACGGCGGGGTACAGGAGGTACTTCTCCACGCACTGCAGGCCGGCATACAGCTTCTCGAACCACATCACCTGGGCGGCGCCTGCAACACGAGGCGCCTTTGTCAGCCCTGCCCTCCACCCTCCCGCCCCAGAGCCGGGCAGGCGTGCCTCGGAGGAACCGGGGGGGAGGGCAGACCTGGGCGCAGGGTTCCGGGCCCAGAGACTGTGGGAGGCGGTGATCTCTGCAGCACACAGAGGTGCGGGGCCTGGGCAGGGCACACTGAGGGGCCAGGGCAGTGCTCCAAGGGCTGCCCAGATGCTGCTGCCACCCAGGCGGTGGGTGAGGCCAGGTACACAGTGACCTGAGCTCTAGGGCCCCTCTGAAGGGCTCAGCTCGAGCTAACGATAGCCACATGGAAAAGCTGGCCCAGGGGCGAAATCTGCCATCGTTTTATAAAAACAAGGCCCGTGGACCTCTGTAGACCAGACTGCCCTGCCCGATGACAACGTGCACCGGGCAGATTCAGTCCGCCGGTAACAGCCGGCGATTCCGGACAAGAGAGCTCTGCAAGGCACGGACTTCTCCCCTCTCCTCGGAGAGCAGGGTGAGCAGCAGAGGGCAGGGAGGGCACAGCGGGCCAAGCAGGGGCCAAGCGGGCCCAGTGGCAGGAGAGGGCAGCGAGGGCCGTGAAGCAGAGGGCAGCCCAGGAGGAGGCTGCCCCCTGCTGGCACTCTGAGCCGAGAGGACCACATGGATCAGCCAGGAAGTCAGGGCAGGCGGTGGTGGAGGGTCCCGGCACTCACCGCGCACTTCGTACTGGCTGTACTCCAGCGGCTTCAGCACCGGCTGCGACAGGCAGAACCAGGGCAGCTGCTTGCGGAGCTGCGGCAGCAGGTAATGTGTGAAGAAGCCCACGGCCCCGGCCAGTGCGTACAGCACGAACCCCAGCACGGACTGCAAGAGAGGCCAGAGGCTCAGCCACGGGGGGGGCGAGGGGCACAGGGGGCCTTGGGCACAGACTGGGCAGGGGCCTCAGGTAAGCGGGCTCCCGCAAGCACCGGGGGGGGCTCGCCACACAGACCTTCAGGGCAATGAAGACGGTGCTGGCGCTGATGGCGAAGGTGAGCACAGCGATCACCACACACATCACCAGGTCGGAGTGCAGGACCTCGCGCTGCGGGGCCAGGAGAAACCAGCTTGGGTGCCCGCCGCCCAGTGGCTGACAACACCTCTCTCAGCGCCCTCCCAGGACCAGAGGCCCGCCCTCGGCCTCACCACGGACTGGCGCATCTTGTCTGGCAGGGGGTCTGGGGGCTCGGCCCGGGCTGTCTCCAAGCTCCGCTCCTCCAGCTCGGGGAAGAGCTTGCTCCGGATCAGGGACCTGGGGGGCGGTGAGAAGAATCAGGTACCAGGTCTGGAGAGAGCCCCCTCCTCCCACAGCCCCAAGGTCAGGAGGTGACAGGCACATGCACAGCCCCACAGACCGCCCCCCAACCCTTGCCATGCAGACACACATACGAACACACGTGTGCACAGACTGGCACACGCAGGCACCCACCAGAGCACGGTGGGGTCGCTGCTCTGCCGGCTCAGGTGGTAGGACAGGGCCACCAGGAGGCCGCAGAAGACGGAGAAGAGGACCGGGACGTGCTGCTCTGGCCAAGGAGTCTGGGGAGAGAAGGCATGCCGGCCGGGGCGGGAGGTGAGGGGGGCGCCACCCCCGGGGGGAGCCATTGCTGAGCTGAGCCCGATACACAGCCCGTCCCGGCAGCCCCTGGGCCTCAGCGCGCCCGCCCGTCGCCGCTACCTTGATGGCCCCGAGGCAGAAGCCGTAGAGCAGCGCGGCCGCCAGCAGGCTGCGGGAGAGGCTGAAGACCGCGGTGAGCGGGCTGGTGGCGGCTGCGAGGGAGGAAACGGCAGCTGAAGCCCTGCTCCCGCCCGCCGGCCCCACCTCACTGCCCCGCTCCCCTCACCTCCCAGAGGCCAGCCTCCGGGGACCCCATCCCTAGCCCCTCTCTGTGCCGCAGCCCTGAGAGGCCTCCAGAGCTCCTGGCATTTGGGGGTTTAAACCACTTGCTTGGGGAGGAGAGGAACAAACAGCTCTTCAAGTCCATGGTGCCTCCTGGGCCCCCCCCGCCCCCAGCCTCCCAGCCCCCTGCGGGCACGTACCTGTGCCCCCAAAGCCGTGCATGTCTATCTGCTCCAGCAGGTACATGAGGCAGGTGTTGACTTGGGGCAGGAGGCCCAGGAGAAAGACGAAGGGGAAGCACAGGGTAAACACTGGTGGGAGGGCGAGGGAGGACCCGGTCAGCCTGGGGGCTGGCCTAGGCCCACCTGAGGCTGTGCTCCCCGCGCCCCTGCAGCCCTGCCCAGGCTCACCAGTGGCCACGTCGCGGGCACAGAAGAAGAAGGAGGCGGAGAAGAGTGTGAGGCCGTAGAGCGAGACGGGCGGGAAGGGCTGGGCCGAGCCGAGGGCGTCCAGCAGCCAGATGAGCAGGCAGCAGATGCAGAAGTAGACCGGCCGGCTGTATGCGATCACCCAGTTGTGGCCCTGGGAAGCGGGCCTGTGAGGAGTGGGGCCTCCCACCGACCACCCTGCACGCATGTGCACACCCAGGCACGTCCATGCACACTCAGGCGCCCAGGCCTGGCCCGGGACCGAAGACAGAAAGCCTGGCCGGGAGGGGCAGGAGGACGGAGGACTGGGGCTAGCCGAACCCGCCCCGCCCGGCCCAGCCTCCTGGCACAGGCTGCCCCTCCAGGACTCACGTGCATGGGCGACGCCGCGTCAGGCTGGACGCTCTGGAAGAGAGGGAGCCACATTGCATGGGGCGCCAGCACCCTTGGGGGACAGAGGCTACCACTGGGCTGTTATGAGTGACAGGGAAGGACCCTAAACTGCAGAGCCCAGTTCTCCCGTTTGTAAGATGGGGCTGGCTTAGCGGGTGTAGGCGCCTTGCCTTCTGGCTGCTCACCGCCCTCGGACAGGCCGTGGGAAGGGCTGGGAGAGGGGAGGAGCCTGACCTTCAGCAGGGAGTACTGGCAGGAGGCGATGACCAGGCAGAACTGGAAGACCCAGATGTCGGTGAAGAAGCCCTTGAGCAGCAGCAGGTAGCCTAGGAAGGCGACCAGGCTGCTCAGGCCCACACCGAGGACGTTCTCCAGCGGCCCCCGGGTCCTGGAGAGACAGCGGCCGTCACACACCTCGTCACCACTAATGGGCGCCGGACCTGACCACAGAGGCCCCGTCTGGGCCTGAGCTCAGGCCAGGCTCATCCTCTGACCTCTGACCTCTGACCTCTGAGGGGCGTGGCCAGGTTGCACCTGCTCCAGGAAGCCACCTTGTGCCCCAATCTGTGCCCCCTCTGGAGACTGAGGGCTCCAGGTGCCACCACTCGTGGGACCTGCCCACCCCCAGCGAAGGCATGCCACCCTCTGACCCAGGCCGTGCTCAGCACACGCTGCTCACAGAGCCTGGGGGACCCAGTACACAGGAAGCCAGGACGGGGGTCCGAGGCCGAACTGTCCACACAGACAACAAGTCATCGGACTTTCTGGGCCTCAGTTTCCCGAGAAATGGGGTGACAAATAGTTTGTCAGCTTTTTTAGGCAATAGGACTCAATCTAACCAAATGTGCTACAGAAATAAATGACACGATAGACTGAAAAGGAGTTTGAGCAGAGCTTTGGGAGAGAGAGTATTACCCGCCTGGCCATCCCTTTGTGCCCAGGGGAACCTAAAGAAACCCCACTGCAGACTGGTCTTCGGGGCCCCTCAGAGCCCCAGCAGTCAGGCTCTCTGACGCCATGACAGCCTCCACATGCACGAGGTCTGGAAGGGGGGCTAACGGCGGGCACTCACCGGTCCAGCAGGGCCAGCAGGGCCAGCCGCTCGTAGCGCACGGACGTCCAGTGGCCGGGGAAAAGCCAGTACTTGTAGCTGTGCTGGGCTCGGGGCGGGGCCTCCTCCATCAGTGTCTGCTCCTGGGATTCGTGCAGGGAGTCCTGGTCCAGCAGGTCAAACTGCAGTCCCCACAGCCGCGGCCATCAGCCCCGCGCCCTCTCCACGGTCCATCCCCCTCCCGCCCTTACCCCCGCCCCCCCCCCCCCCCCCCCCGGCACACTGTACTGGTGGACCATTCCCTCCAGCACAGAAAGTCCCCACCTTCCAGCAGCCGCGTGCCCTGCCCCGACTCTCCACTGCAAGGGCCTCCTCATGGGCCCAGGTTCCCAGGACATGGCTCACCGCCTGCCCAGGACTATTCCCGCATCTGTCTGTCCTCTCCGCTCGGGCAGCACCTCCTGCTTCTTCCTGGGCTCAATGAAGTTCACCTTGTCCTTCAGGACTCAGTGTCTATGCTGCTCATCTCCCAGACAGAGGCATCGGGCTCACTCTGACTAGCCACCCTGGCGCCCACAGAACACTGGCTCGGACAGACCTGGTGCCACTGTCACTGCTACAACCTCTTTGATTTGTGTTCTTCATTCCCCAAGAACTTATGGGGCACAGCCTTGGGCCTGGCTCCGTGCTGGGCCTGGGATGTAACGGAGAGCAGGAACACACTGCACGCCCTTGGAGGTGACTGGCGGCCGTGCAGGACAGCGCAGCTGCCCCATGTGGAAGTGAAGGCAAATGTGTGCCTCAGGCAGAGGCACTGGGGCTTCTGCCCGGTGCCCAGGGTCTGCCCATGGGCCTGGGTGTTAGAGGCCTGAGTGCTTCTCCTATCACCACTCTAACCTCCGAATCTCTGTTCCACGCATGCCTAGTACTTCCAGCTCTGGCTGACCCTGCAAATTACTGTCCTAATCAGGACACTTTTAGGAGTAAAGAGAGCCCTGTGGCTGCTGAGATGACAGGCAGGAACACTGGCCCCAAGCTACCCCATGTGTCAGGGAGCAGCAGTTACTGTCTGGTAAGTTAAACTGCCCCTTCTGTAGGGATTCACAAACAACTGTCATCCCCACTGACTATGGGCCCCTCCAGGATTAAGACGATACTCCATGCCCAGCCGGCGTGGCACAATGGCTGAGCATCAACCTATGAACCAGGAGGTCATGGTTGGATTCCCGGTCGGGGCATATGCCTGGGTTGTGGACTCAATCCCCAGTGTGGGGCCTGCAGGGGCAGCTGATCAATGATTCTCTCTCAACATTGGTGTTTCTCTCTCCCTCTCTCCTTTCCTCTCTGAAATCAGTGAAAACATATTAAGAAAAAGAAGATATTCCAGCTGCATCTGCTGAGTAAGCAGCTCCCTGAACTATTCAGATCCAGGCAAATCCTGTGCCAGCCACCCAAGCCCAGAACAGACACCTGCAGGCCCCGGAGCTCTCCCTCAGCCCGTCCCTCCTGGTGGTCTCCCCGCTGCCCTCCGCAGGTCCCTGCCGGTCCGATGGCGCTCACCTCTGGGATCTCCAGGGGCACTCGGCGCACCTGCATGCCCTGCAGCACCACGGGCCTCGGCTGCAGCAGGTTCAGGCTGCCGGCCGCCTCGGGGACGTCAGCCGAGTGGAAGCTGGAGGAATGTGAGTGGCGGTCCCTGTGGAAACCACAGCCATGGGGTCAGGGCCGCTGGCACTGGGCGGGGTTGGGGCCAACACAGGCCATAACTGGAGGGGCTGCTCAGAGCAGGAAAAGAACAGAATCGGGGGCTCCAGAGGGGGCAGGAGGCCCTGGGTTCCTGGAAGACCCTGGAAGCCTCCTGCTTAAAGGTATCATGGACTCAAGGACCCAATAGGTCCTGTAGGCCTGCCCTTCACTGCCCCTTCCCCAACCCAGCGAACCGAGACATGGGAGACGCAGAGCCACCGCCACCCCCACCTGGGCCTCCAGTTCAGCCTGGGAGAGAAAACGTCCCAAAGGGCAGCCCACACTGGGGAGACTCACCAGGTCCCATTGGCTGCCTGATCGCCCTGCTGCCCTACGGGGTTCTCGTAGCCGCCTCCAGCCAGCCCGAAGGTGTAGGAACGCCGCACGCCTGGAGCAGGGGTGAGGGCATTGGACAACATGTCAGAGACAGGAGCACCAAGGCCCGACCCACGGGAACACCACAGCCTTTGAGAGCACTCTGCTGTGTCCCCTGCCCAGCCCGAGGACAGAGCAGAGGGAGGGCCTGCACTCGGGCACCCGGTGCGGATCCCATTCTACCACCGGCTCAGCCTCTGACTGCAGGCTGCGCCTCAGCTTCCTCAGCAGGCTGGGCAGGAGACCATCCCACCTCAGAGGCCGCAGGTGGGATGCAGGCAAGGCGCTCAGCAGAGGCCAGAGGTGCGGACTTCCCCGCGGCGAGCACTGCTGCGGGGCTGACGAGACCGCGGCAGGAGGAAGAGGGGGCACTGGGCGGCCGGAGCCAGAGGCTGGGCCTGCAGGGCTCTCGGGCTCGCGAGGGCTCACCGCTCTCATCGTAGAAGTAGTGCACGGCGCCCTCCGAGGTGTCGTCAAAGGTGCAGGCCTCGTGCACGTTGGCGCCGGCCCGAGTGAGCAGCAGCGAGGAAGCGAAGTGCAGGGCGGAGGGCAGCGTCAGCGCCCGGGAGTGGGAGGAGGCCCGGACCCGCTGTGCCTCGTGCAGGCTGCGGACAGGTCAGCATGGGTCAGCAGCTCTTAGAGCCCACTGGCCCCGGCCCACCGCCCTCAACCGGGGGGCAGGCACTCACCTTGGGGGCGAGCCCATGACAGACGCTGGAGGAGTGGGGTTACTGCCCGCGTTGTGGCGCCTCCGGATCGCCTGGGTCCGCCTCACGTTGCTCGCGTGGTCCCGCTTTCCGGCCTCCTCAGCTGCTGCCCGGAAAGACCCCGAGCATAAGGACAGTGCTGAGACAGAGCTGCTGGGGTGGGCAGGCACTCCTGCCTGGAGGGAAGGTCAGGCCTAGTCCAACCGTGCCCTGGCCCTGGGCCCCAGCGAGGCCGCCAACCGCTCAAGCCAGGTCCCCGTCTGTCAGTAAGGACAGTGCGACCTGCCCTGCCCACTGGGGGCCCAGGATGACGATGTGCTGCTGAGAGTCCTCAGGGCAGAGGTTTCAGGTGCGAACCGCAGCACCAAGGGCAAGGTGCCGGGGTCTCTGCCCGTCTCCTCACAGCCCCGCTTCCCTGAGGGGTTTGGCAGGCAAAGCGCTGAGCTCACACCCATCTGCTGCCTGAGACAGGCTGAGCCGACTGACCGGGCCCACTCCAGCCTGCCCCTTGCCCGAACCCAGGCCTCTAGCCGGCTCCCCACCCGCCCAGCCTGGAGCTGGCACTCACCTCCGCCCACGGCGCCTTCCTCCTGCAGCTCCCCCCGCCAACCAGGCTGGTTGGCAGCAGGTCCCCGGTGGGCCTCAGCGGACAGCACAGTGGGCTCCCCAGCAGCCAGCTCCACCCCTGCCTGCGCCTCCAGCTCGGCCTTGGAGCCAGCCAGGGGGGCCCTCAAGACGTCGCCCCCCGCCCCATCCATGCTCAGCACACGGGCGTGTGTTTTGGCGCTGGCAGTACTAGGCGTCCGCTGGGTCCCGTAGGGCCGCTTGGGGGGCACAGCGGTCCCTTCCTCAGCCCCATGAGGGGCCCGGCGCTTCCGGGGACCCCCCGCCGCGCCCCGGGAGCTCTCCGGGGAGTAGCAGGAAGAGGAGGAGCTGTCGGTGCTGTAGCGGCGCTGAGATCGGAGGCTGGAGGCCGGGCTCAGCTCACTGCCCTCGCTGCTGTCTTCGTCTTCAAAGAAGCCCCCGCCTTCCAGCAGGGGCCTGCGAGGGGCGTGGCCAGGCGGCGAGGGCCTCCGCGCAGGCGGCCGCCGTTTGCTAGGCCGGAGCAGGGCCAGGTCCTTGGGCCGCACAACCAGGAGTGGCTCCGCTGGGCCGGGCGGTGTCCCCGCGCCTATGACCGTGTCAAAGGAGCGCAGCGTGTCATCGGAGGGGACCCCGGCGTCCGGCGAGGCGGGCAGCTCCGCCTCGGAGGGCGGGTCTGTGTCGCTGCCCTCGGGGGCGTGCCCGCCAGGGGGGCTGTCCAGGTGGGTTGAGTTGGTCTTCTCGCTCTTAAAGCTGCTCAGCGTCTCCCTGTCGGTGCCACTGAAGCAGGAGTCCGAGGAGCCAGCTTTCTGGGTCATGGGGTCCCCCGAGCCCCGCCGGTCCAGAGGCTGGTAGCCCCCCACGCCCCGGTGCTGTTCTCGTCGGCTGCTGGTCCTCACCAGGGCCCGGTCGGGCCGGGACAGGGTCAGGAAGCTCTTGCTCAGCTCCTGGCTGAGGCTCCCCTTCAGCAGGGGACTCATAGGAGTGTCAGCGACACTGCTCCCGCTCCAGGCGGCTCCGCCTCCAGCCAGGGGAGAGCGCTCCGAAGAATCCGTGCTGGGGAGAGAGGGGTCTGGGGCAGCCCCCAAGGGCATCTGGGGAAGGTCTCCAACTGTCAACAGATGGAAGGCAGAGGTGAGTGAAGGACACATTGCCAAAGGACCTGGCGGCTGAGGGACCCAGGGCCCATGCTCTGAGAGCCCAGCAGGGCTAGAACCCCGAGGAGGCCCCACCCAGAACAAAGAAAGCACCAGGGAAGCAAAGCTGGGGTGACCCTAAGACAGACAGTCTTCCCCCAAGCCGCTCACACCAGGCCCACTCACTCAGCTTCTCCTGGGAGCTTAGCCTGAGCATCTCCCGATCGGCTGAGGTCACGATCACGTTGTTGCTGCCCTGCTCCCGCACCAGCTCCTTGATGTCTGCAACCGAGGCCCGAAGGCATCAGCAGGGCCCAGGGCGGCTGCCTGCCCTCCCCTTCCCCACAGCCACCAGCAGCCCCCTACCTCTGAGCGGCCCAGAGTCCTCCATCCGGGGAAGCAACTCCTGAGCAGATGGAAAAAGAAGTGAAGGGGCGAACAGGATAGGAAGTAAGCTCAGGACATACCCACGGTGGGGAGGGCTCCCAGGAGAGGAGCAGCAGAGGCCGGAGGCCGGGACCACTCACCGAGACCTGGTTGAAGCCAAACACGGAATGCTGGGAGCTACAGCGTACTGGGGGCGTGGAGCTCACTTTCCGAAACACTGTCATCTCCACTCCAGGGTCCCTGAGGGGGGGAGAGAGCGTCAGCTAGGAGCTACCCCTCTCTCTTCACATCGCACTTACTTCCTCTGCCATCTCCGTCACTTCTCCGGCTCTCCCTCAATTCCAGTGCCAACCACAGAGCCGCACTGACCACTCCCGGAGCCAATGGTCCCTGGGCCCCTCCTCCACCCTCCAGTGCTCAGGCCCTGCGCCCGCCCCGCCCACCTGAGCGGGTTGCTGTCCCCCTGGGCAGCCTCCTCCTCCTGCTCCCCCAGGGTAGAGTTGCGCTTCTCCACAATCTCGCCCTGGTCGAACATGGCGTGCAGCCGGTAGTTCACGGTCTTGATGGTGGTGAAGATGACGGCCACCACAAGGCAGTACACGCCGGCCACCACCAAGCTGGGGGGCAGGACCTGGAGGGGTGGGCAGGAGCAGGTCAGGTCCCTTCTCAACAGCCCGACCCCCCCAGTGTGGCTGCGACTCTCAAACTCACAAGCAGCTCCGCCAGCCCTCAGGGAACCCAGTGGGACACCTTGCCGGGGGTCCTGCCTCCTAACTCAAGAAATTACATGAGGCGCTCAAGGTCACCCAGCCCAGCGAAGGAAGAATTTGGCTCCTTCTCCACGCGATCCAAACTCTGCGGAGGTTCCTCTCTCCGCACCCCGGCACCCAGGGCGCAGTCCCGAACCCCTGCCAGGCTGCCAACCCTCGGTGACAGCTGCCCGCACTCTGGGCGGCGGGAGTTACAGGTAGGCGGCGGCGGGGTCTCACCATGTACAGCAGGAAGGGGAAGGTGAGCAGGAAGATCCAGACGTAGAGGTGGAAGCAGTTGGAGAAGGTGCTCTGGTGCGGGTCGAAGAACCAACCGCCGGTGAGCGAGGCCCACACCCCCTGGCGCAGTATCTGTAACACCTGCGACCCCATCGCCCCGCCACTGCTGCGCGCGCCCCGCTTCTGGGACCCTCATGGGGGCGGCCCCCGGCCCATGCCCCGCCTGGCGCCCGAAGGCCCCGGGGCTGGCCGCGCTCACGCCATGGCCTCCCCCGCAGGGAAGAGGGGTCCGCGGGGCGAGGTTGCGGGCAGGGGGCGGGGCCGGCCGGGGCAGTCAGCGGGGCCAGGCCAGGGCGCGGCGGGGGAGCCGCATCAGGGGCGGGGTCTGGGCCCCCACCCCCGACCCAGAACTGCTCCGAGAGGCCGAACGGGCGAGCGGGCGCGGGGCACGGGCCGGGCACCCGTCGGCGGCATCCAGAGGTGGGCGTGGGGTGGGTGCTCCGGAGACGCAGGCGACGGCTCCCCGGCTCCGGTCCGGGAGAGCCCCGGGACCCTGAGGTCCACTTCCGGGGTCACAGGTCACTCGCTCCGGGACCCACACTCGCCCCGCTCCCGCAGGCGCCGGCCCCAGGGGGAGGCCGGAAGAAGGTGCCGCGAGCCGCCAGCCCGCAGCGGCGCATGCGCCCGACAGGCCCGGTTGGGACCCGGAAAAGGAAAATCTGACGGCGTCGGAGCGCCGAGAAGCCGGGAGCCCTCTGGGCATGCGCAGAGTCCAAGTCTAAGGGAGGCGCAGCCACAGGGTAGAAGCCCTTGGGCGCATGCGCGCGCCTAGGCGTCGCCAACCGAGCGAAAACCACCGCTGGGTGGAACTGAAGGTGCTCGGGGGCGGGTCCAGGAGCCAACGGGCCGTGAGCGAGACCCCTTCCCCCCCAGCCCCACGCAGGAACTGTTAACTGGCGCAAAGCTCTTCCCATGCCCTTTGGCTCGGTGGACAGAGCGCCGGCCAGCGGCCTGAAGGGTCCCAGTTCTGATTCTGGCCAAGGGCACAGGCCTGAGTTGCGGGCTCCATCCTCAGTAGATGTTTCTCTCTCCCTCTCCCTTCCTCTCTGAAATCAATAAAGAAATATATATATTTTTAAAAGCCCTCCCAGTGAAAGTGGTGGGGAAACGGATGGACGTGTGGAGTCCTCTGGGTTACAGCGATTTCAGCTCCGCTGGAGCACCTCCCTCTCGGTCAGCCCCTTTTAGGGCTGGACCTCAGACGTCATGAGCATCTGTGGACTGGAGCGGCCTCTACTTCCGGGTCAGAGCTCGGATTTGCAGTGCAGAGAGCGACACTCCAGGGCAGGCGGGAGTAGTCAAAATAGGATAGCGTCGTTTTTCTTAAAGTGACAGGCTCAAGGCAATTGGGGTCAACACAGTGGCGGAGGGCGCCTTGATTCTGACTCCAATCCCTGGGCTACGCTCAGGACAGGTCTCGGGTCTCCGCCTCCTTGGGAAGAGGCATGAAGAAGCGGATTGCTTCCCCGGTGAGGGGCAGAGGAGCGCCTGAGGCAACAGGTTCCAAGAATGTGAGGTGCAGCCAGTTCTGCCCTCCTCCCATCTCCCCCACCCGCCCCACTGGCTCTGCCAAGCGAGCCCCCATTTCAGACAGGAGGAGGAGGCGCGGAGAGGATGGGTCACAGCGTCGGAGCCGAGACTAGACGCGGGTCTGCTCCGCTTCCAAGCCGGGCTCCTAACTGAGGCCGAGGCCGAGGGGTGGCCGTCCTCAGAGACCACTCCGACCGGGGTCGGCTCCACCCCCTCCTCCGGCCTCTCCTCCACCGCGACCGGGAGCTGCCCCGCTCCGTCCCCACAGCCTCGGTCCGGAGCCGTGCAGCCAGCCCGCGTCATCTGATGCTGTTTCCTGCAGGAGGGAGAAGAGCGGAAAAAAGTGAAACTCCACCCTCCACCTCTGCCTCCCGCCCCCGGGGCCAAAGTACAAAGGGAGGAGGAAGAAGGGAAGGGGTTGGAGCCGTCGGGCCGAGGGAGCTGGGCCAGGAAGGGGCAGCCCGGCCCGCCGAGGGACGCCCCGGCCGCCCCGCGCAAACAGACCTGCCCGGAGGCCAGCGCTGCCCCTCGCCGCCCCCCTCCCGCTCGGCGGGCGCCGGGCCGGCTCCGGACTGCCGAGGGGCGCCGGGCCCTCCGGAGCTGGCGATGGTGAGACGCCGGACACCCCGGGGTCCCGGCCCCCGGGCCTGACCGCGCCGCCGCGCCGCGCCCTCCGAAAGCCCGCGATGCGGCGGGCCCGGAGGCGATCCCGGCTCCCCCGAGAGGCGCGGGCCTGGGCTGAGGCCGGGGCCCGCCTGCCCGGGGCCCAGGACTAGGGCCTCCGCGGCCGGCAGGGGTGGAGACCGGGGCGCTCCGGCCGGTCCCCCGCACCCCGGCGCCGGCGCCCGCGCCCGCGCCCGCCATGGAGCCCTTGAAGAACCTCTTCCTCAAGAGCCCGCTGGGGTCCTGGAACGGCGGGGGCGGGGGCGGGGGCGGCGGCGGAAGCTGGCCGGAGGGGTCCCCGAAAGCAGCAGCTTACGCCAACCCCGTGTGGACAGCCTTGTTTGACTACGAGCCCAACGGGCAGGACGAGCTGGCCCTGCGGAAGGGGGACCGGGTGGAGGTGCTGTCCCGGGATGCAGCCATCTCCGGCGACGAGGGCTGGTGGGCGGGCCAGGTGGGCGGCCAGGTAGGCATCTTCCCGTCCAACTACGTGTCCCGGGGCGGCCCGCCCCCCTGCGAGGTGGCCAGCTTTCAGGAGCTGCGGCTGGAGGAGGTGATCGGCATCGGCGGCTTCGGCAAGGTCTACCGCGGGAGCTGGCGGGGGGAGCTGGTGGCCGTGAAGGCCGCTCGGCAGGACCCCGACGAGGACATCAGCGTGACGGCCGAGAGTGTGCGCCAGGAGGCCCGGCTCTTCGCCATGCTGGCGCACCCCAACATCATCGCCCTCAAGGCGGTGTGCCTGGAGGAGCCCAACCTGTGCCTGGTGATGGAGTACGCGGCCGGGGGCCCCCTCAGCCGCGCCCTGGCCGGGCGGCGTGTCCCCCCCCACGTGCTGGTCAACTGGGCTGTGCAGATCGCCCGCGGGATGCACTACCTGCACTGTGAGGCCCTCGTGCCCGTCATCCACCGCGACCTCAAGTCCAACAACAGTGAGTTTTGGGGAGCAGGGCTGGCGGGTGGCACGGCCGAGCGCACACACACTGCCAAGCTCAGCTGGACCTGCTGGGCTGCCTGGCCTCTGGAGGGAACCAGGATGCTCTGTGGTACTGCCCAAGGGGAGTCCCAGTTGGCTGGGATGCCCACTGCCCCCAAAGCAGGGGTACCAGGCACCAGAGTCCCTCATGCCCCAGCCGCAGTACTTGGCCCCAGCTTACAGAGGCTGGCACACTGGGATCACTCAGGTGGGCCACAATGGTCCGGCCTAATGATGGCCGCCTCACGGTAGCAGAACACTGGGTGTTGGCACTCGCCTTCCTGGCCCCTAAAATCCACACTTGTGCTGCTGGCTCTCTCCTTTCCCCTCCTCTGTGATGGGCAGGTACTCCAGACAGAGATCTCTGAGGGGAGAGCCTGGGGGTCCTGGTGGTCATGGGCTGCAATTCCTGCCCTCCCCCTCCCCCTCCCCCTCTCCCTGGCTGCATGACCTCCAGGTGGTTATTTCACTCAGAGCCTCAATTTCAGACTCTGTGAAAAGGGAGTAACAGGGAGGGGGAGATGGCTTAACAGCCTTGACGAGCCCTGGTGTCTGCTGCCAGCACACAGTAGGTCCTCAGTCGTGAGTGTGGACATTTGGGGATTGGATCACCACCGGGGCCTCGCCTGGAACCAGCGCTTGGGGTGGGTGTGGTGGGACTGGGCCTCCGTCCTCAGCCGTTGGGAGTGCGCTCCGCTCAGCAGGGACTACAACAAGGAGTGACAGTTCAGAGCGCTCCTCAAGCAGCAGGCTTCACAGAGGCCACAGGCGGTCAGCGCCCAGCTGAATGCCCAGCGGGGCCTGGCCAGAGCGAAGGCCAGGAGGCGGCACCCAGCACATAGTGGGGGGACACAGGGCTGGGCCTGGGGAGCCCCGGGTGCAGGCTGTGGAGCAAACGGAAGCGCAGGAGGGCCAGCGGGATTACTGGAGAGGCACGGGCAGCGCTTGCAGGGTGAGGTGTACATTTTGAGCCTCCTGGCCTGGGCTCACCATGGACAAGGGGCCTGGAGGGAGAAGGCCGGGACCTGGTGATTTCCAAGTCCCTGCCAGGGCCAGAGGGGCCGGGGCTGTCTGCCAGCACCCCTCCTGTCATCAGTAGCAGGGGGCAGTCCCACCTCTCGGCCTCACTTCTCCGTTCCAGCCATCTAGGACCCCCACTCACAGCCAGCCTGAGGGGGATCCCCGAAGGCCCCAGGGGGAGGGGACTCCATCTTCTGTTTTTCTTCCAGTTTTCTTTCCAGAAAAAATGGAACAATAGCCCAGGCCCCTGCTCCCCACCCTCCCCACCGCTTCCTGCATTTCCTGCTGCCCCTGAGCCAGCTTCCTGCCCTGCTCCAGCCTCTGCTCCCTCCCCAGCCCAGCTGCCTGCAGGGGAGGAAAGAGCTGGGGGCGGGGGGCTTGCGGGAGAGGAAGGAGCCAGGGATTGCACCCCCACTCCTCTCCGTTCCCCTGCTTCTCTCCGGGGCTGGGTGGTGGTGGCAAAGGGCAGGCGGGGTGCCCTCAGCCTCCCTGACCTGGCCTCCCACCTTGCAGCCCCCAGTCCTAGGCCTGAGGTACTGTCTGCGGGATTGGGGCGGGGGAGTCCCTGGACTGGGGGGGCGCAGGCAGGAAACAATGGCGTGATTTTCCTGGACAATGAGGGCCTTGTGAGGAAGCCTGGCGGGAGCGGAGGGGGAATTCTCCAGGCCCACGAGTCACAGGACTGACCAGCCAGCCGGCCTGGGGCTGACCTCCCCCAATTCTCCCAGAAGGACCCCCCCCCCCCCTTGGAGACCTGCGCTAGGCCCGCAGAAAGGAGAAGTAGAGACCGTGGGAGGGAAGCGGAAGAGGTGTGAGCGGCCGAGGCCACTCCCGAGCCCCACAGAGGCAGCCTGGGGGGGGGGGGGGCCAGGCAGCCCTTAGGGGGCGCTGAGAGGGGCGTCTCTAGCTCTCTCCAATGGCCCCTGACCACCCCGTCCCCAAGGTTCGCATCAGACACCAGAAGAGCAACTTGGGGTGGGACAAGTTCAAAGCCCTGAGTAAAACGGGAGATGCCGGGGAGAGGACGAGACATGGAAGTTGTCAGGTCAAGCCGGGTGGGAAGTGGCAGAATGGCCGCCGTACGAACCAGTCCTGAGATGTGGGGTGGGTTATCTGGGTCTCAGATTCGCTGGCTGGAAAGGGGCGCTGGCCTGCCGGCCTGAGACTCTGGTGCAGAAGGTGCTTCGCTGGTCTGTGCGGTCTCACCTGTGGCTAGAGACACAGCCGGGGGCAGCAAGGGCTGGTCTCCAAGAGGACGGGCGGGTCCTGGCACCAGAGGAGACAGGAGTCCCTTCCCAGCCCCGGCACACAGACCCCCTTGGCGGGTCCCACTCCAGCTGCCCGCCCCTGCGTGTTGCAGTTCTTGGGAATGAGCCCCTGAAGGATTTGCTAACCGGCCCCGTTCTGAGCCTCCAGCAGCCAAGCCGGAGCACGTTGTGTAGAGGATGGAGGCGAGAGAGTCTACGGAGAGATGTGAGGGACGTCTTTAGCACACTGGCATTCAGCATGCTCCTGCTGGGGGCAGACCCTGTGCTAAGGCTTTCCTTCAAAAGCAGGATCTCGTGAGCACCCTCCTCGCCTTTATTAACTGCTCGGGACCCAGCCCCTCAGGCTCAGAGGAGAGGGGGGATCGTAGGACCGTTCTCTGAATGAGGAGAAATGGCAAGAGGATTGGCCGGGCCTGGCGGGATGATGAGGTGGCTGTTCAGGGCCTGTGGGCATCAGGTAGGCCAGCTGGTGGGCAGCTGAATTGACTTCTGGCCTAGAGGTCCAACTGTGGGAGGTGCCAATGGGTGGCGGGCACCCGGGAGAGCCAGCACAGGCTGGGAGCAGTGGGCAGAGGGGTAGGAGAGGCCAGGCCCTGAGGGACACCTGCCCTGAGAGGGCTGAGGGCCGGGGAGGCCCTGAAGGAAACACAGGCCGTCAGAGGCCCAGGAGCCAAGGACAGTGGGGAACGGTTGGGGAGCCAGGTGCCCCCACAAGGCCCAGCGAGCTTGGCCAGAAGCAGGATCAGGAGTTGTGGCTTTTAGGCCTGGAAAAGTGAGTACCCAGGTTCTGCCACCTCTTCTGAGAAGTCTTCTCTGACTCACGGGGCTGCGTTGGGTGCTGGGGCCCGCCCCTGACCGAGGGCACGCTGGCACCCCGCCCCAGTACCCTGTGCTGCCCCCACTATGCAGCTGCCACCTGGCAGGAGAGCTGAGGTGTGCTCCGGAGTGCCACAGGCTCAGAAATGCCGTTGGCGGGATGGCACTCCTGCAGTGCAGTTCCCACAACGAGAAGAGCAGAGGTCCTTCAGAGCCCGGGGATTCTGTTATTTGTCCTCTGAAACGCCTCTCCTGTGAGCCCTGTTTTTCCTGATGAGAGGTTTGCAAGTTGCTGCTTCTCTCCGTACAGATACGGTAGCCCCATTTGGGTCAAAGCCATGAGCCCCTGCCAAGTCTAACCATCCACTCCTACATTTATCCCGGGCTCCTCCTTTCTGGGCAAGAGCCGTCCTCTGCTCAGACCCCTCCCTTCCTCTCACCTCCAGCTGCGTGAGGAGTTATCTTTCGGAGTCTCGCTCCCTGGGGAGTGGCGGCACCAGCCACCCTGCGATATGGGCACCAGGGGTCTGGGCACCTGGTGAACTTCCTTTCCCACAGAGGGCTCCCTCTTGCTCCCCACCCCGAGGGAGGCTCTGGCTCACACTCCTGCGTGAGCAAAGTGATAAGACACAGGTTTCTCTTGAAATGGAGGCCCCATCGGGGCTAGGAGGCTGCTGTATTGCTAGTTTCTACTCCCTGCAGTGTCCGGAGAAAGTTACAGGCCGGGCTTTGGAACCACACAGACTGGGTTGGAATCTCTGTGTAATTTGTTTGTGACCTTGGTCAAGTCATTTCCTTGCTCTGTCTCTTCGCCTGTAACATGGGGATACGGACGCCCACCTCACAACACGTTTGTGTGTGACTGCTAGGACTGAGTGTACAGCGCGTGGCCTATAGCAGCCCCTCTGGAAACATCCCCAGTTTGGTTATTTTTGTCCGATTCCATCCCAGCCCCGGCAGCGAGCTCTCCGTGCCCCCAGCACCCAGCGAGATGTCTGTCAGAGGACAGTTAGCTCCCAGCTCCTCCCCGGTCCCTCCCGCCTGAGCCTGGAGCACCCACAGCCCTGCCTCTCTCTCCCCCCTCACCCCCCCCAGTTCTGCTGCTGCAGCCCATCGAGGGTGACGACATGGAGCACAAGACCCTGAAGATCACGGACTTCGGCCTGGCCCGCGAGTGGCACAAAACCACGCAAATGAGTGCCGCGGGCACCTACGCCTGGATGGCGCCCGAGGTCATCAAGGCTTCCACCTTCTCTAAGGGCAGCGACGTCTGGAGGTGCGGCCTGGACAGAGGCTGGACAGGGCCAGCCGTGGGGCTGCAGAGGGTAGATGTGGCTGCCAAAACCCAGGGCTGGGCAGACAGGTGGAGCTCAGGGGGAGGCACCCAAGCCACTTAGTTCCTGGTTGCTTTGGGGTGAGATGGCGGTGAGCAGCGGAGAGGACACGCCCTTCTCTCTCCCACAGCTTCGGGGTGCTGCTGTGGGAACTGCTGACGGGAGAGGTGCCCTACCGAGGCATCGACTGCCTGGCTGTGGCCTACGGGGTGGCCGTTAACAAGCTCACACTGCCCATCCCATCCACCTGCCCCGAGCCCTTCGCACAGCTCATGGCCGGTAAGGGGACGAGGCGGGAGGGTGCGGGACAGAGCTCCCCGGCCCACAGACCTCTTATTCTGTCCCCCTCCGTGCTGTGCCCCCAGATTGCTGGGCGCAGGACCCGCACCGCAGGCCGGACTTCGCCTCCATCCTGCAGCAGCTGGAGGCGCTGGAGGCCCAGGTCCTGCGGGAAATGCCGCGGGACTCCTTCCATTCCATGCAGGAAGGCTGGAAGCGGGAGATCCAAGGCCTCTTCGATGAGCTTCGGGCCAAGGAAAAGGTGGGAGGAGTCAGTGTCCGGGGTCGGAAGGAGGGAGACACTCGGGTCTCCTCTGGGCGGGTCTCCTCCGGGCGGAGCGTTGGGGCGGGGCCGGGGCCCTCCCGGACTGACCCGCACCGTCTCCGCTGTCCCGGGCGCAGGAGCTACTGAGCCGCGAGGAGGAGCTGACCCGCGCGGCGCGCGAGCAGCGCTCCCAGGCCGAGCAGCTGCGGCGGCGCGAGCACCTGCTGGCGCAGTGGGAGCTGGAGGTGTTCGAGCGCGAGCTGACGCTGCTGCTGCAGCAGGTGGACCGCGAGCGGCCGCACGTCCGCCGCCGCCGCGGCACCTTCAAGCGCAGCAAACTCCGCGCGCGCGACGGCGGCGAGCGCATCAGTATGCCGCTCGGTAAGGAAGGGGCGGGCCCGGCGCGCCGCCCGCCATTGGCGGCGGGGGCGGGGGCGGGCCTTCGCGCCGATTGGCTCGGGGAGCGAGTGGGCGGGCCCGGGAGCTGAAGGCTGGTCGGGGTTGGGACTCGGCGTGTTTGTGGGTGGGTCCTGGCGGGGATATTTGTATGTCGGCCTGTGAGTGGCTGCAGTGGGGAAGGGGCGGGACCCCGGAAGTTCTGGGAAGGCGGGGCGGGGCGGGGCGGGGCGGGGCGGCCTCCGGGAAGCTCGGGCTCGGTCGCTCCTCTGGAGGCTGGAGTCCAGGCAGGAGAGCCCGGGCCCGGGAGGGCGGTACACTGGCCCCGGTCACATTCCCATCGCGCCGGGCCCGGGCCCGCACGGCCTCCGAGCTGGCCCAAGGCCCCTGCAGGGTGGGACCTTTGCTTTCCCTCACCACGAACCGGCCCTGCTTCCTTCCCAAACCCAGACTTCAAACACCGCATCACTGTGCAGGCCTCGCCCGGCCTGGACCGGAGGAGAAACGTCTTCGAGGTTGGAGCTGGGGACTCGCCCACCTTCCCCCGGTTTCGGGCCATCCAGTGTAAGCAACCTCACCTCCTCCTGTCCAACCTGATCCGTGAGCCCCTGCCCCAGTCTCCCTTCTTATCGGTCGAGGCTGGCACCTTCGAGTTCCCCAAGCATGTGTGTTTTTTTTAAACATATTTTTTTTACAAAGAGGAAGGGAGGAGGATAGAGAGCTAGAAACATTGGTCAGCTGCCTCCTCCACACCCCCTGCTGGGGATGTGCCCGCAACCAAGGTACATGCTCTTGACCGGAATTGAACCTGGGACCTTTCAGTCTGCAAGCTGACGCTCTATCCACTGAGCCAAACCGGTTTCGGCAAGCATTTGTTTTACTGACTTAAAATGTCAAACAGTTGTATGATACCAGTATGTTCTAATGTTATGAGTCCACCTCACGATAACTTTGTGAGGGAGCTGTCCTTTTAAGTTTTATAAACAAGGAAAGTGAAAAAAGCAACTTGCCTAACACTACACAGCTGATGACAGAGCAGAATTCAAACCCAGGCCGAGTCCTGCGGTGTCTGCACTGACTGTAAACAGCAGGTGCCCGCTGGAGGACTAGATGAGATGCCCCCCACCCCCTGCTGCCTACCCCGGACCCAAACCCACCTGCGAAGCCCCAGTTCTGTTACGTTCTCTGAGGATCGGAGCCCGGCCTGCGCCCAGCCTCTAACCTGTTACCCCCGGAGCCCGGGTCTAATGACAGGAGAGCACAGGGGTCAGAGCCTGGCCCTCAGCTCAGACGCCGTTGGTTTTCCCTCCACAGTGGAGCCTGCAGAGCCAGGCCAGGCCTGGGGCCGCCAGTCCCCTCGCCGGCAGGAGGACTCCAGCAATGGAGAGCGCCGCGCCTGCTGGGCCTGGGGTCCCAGTTCCCCCAAGCCCGGCGAAGCCCAGAACGGGAGGTGAGTGCCTGAGCGCCCCCGTCCGGGACTGTCTGCCTCCCCACAGTCCCGAGGCTCACCCAGCGCAACGCCCTCCCCCCTTCCTGTAACCAGGAGAAGGTCCCGCATGGACGAAGCCACCTGGTACCTGGACTCGGAGGACTCCTCCCCCTTAGGATCTCCTTCCACGCCCCCAACGCTCAATGGTGAGTGGCCTTGCTGCCCACGGCAGGCTTTTTGCTGTTCTCTTTCTGGGGGGGCTGCGGGGAGACCACCAGGAGCCAGCAGGCCCAGCAGAGCGAGCCCTGGGACCCAGTTTGGAACTGAGGCCCACAGCTGAGCTGGATAGAGCCCAGCCTCCCAGCCCGGAGTCTGAAGAGGCTCTTTCCTGGCTCCGGTCCCCCTGGCAGGCCTGGCCCGGAACAGGGCACCTTCCTGGCCCCACGGCAGCCCCTGCACCCTCGGCAGGCTCTAGGGAGGAGGGAAGGTGGAATGGTCACCTGGAAGGACATCACCTGCCCACCCAGCCCCCGGCTGAGCTCTGGGTTCCCCTAGCGCAGCGGTCGGCAAACTGTCGCGCGAGCCACATGCGGCTCTTTGGCCCCTTGAGTGTGGTTCTTCCACAAAACACCACGGCCTGGGCGAGTCTGTTTGGAAGAAGTGGCGTTAGAAGAAGCTTAAATTAAAAAAATTAGGCTCTCAAAAGAAATTTCAATCGTCGTCCTGTTGATATTTGGCTGTTGACCAGTGAGTTTGCCGACCACTGCCCTAGTGCAAACCACACTCCAGTCGCCCACGAGAGTTCATGACCTTAACCTCCCAGGCCCTGCAAGAACTTCCCACTCCACAAAATACCACACCCTAACCCAAATAGTGCAGTTCATTTCCGACACTATTGGCCCGGAGTGAGTTACCTGGATCAGTCCCTCAAGTCTGCTCCCAGTCAGGTGCCAGGGGCAAGTCCAGGTTTCTGACCGCCTGGCTATGAATTGGAGGTTCCCACAGCCCTCCTCGGGTTTGATCATTTGCTAGAGCATCTCACAGAACTCGGGGAAAGTGTACTTACTGGGTTACCAGTTGATTATAAAGGATACGGATCAGGAACAGCCAGACGAAAGAGATGCATGGGGCAAGGGCTATGGGGAGGGGCGTGGGCGCCGACACCCTCCCCACACGCACAGCTTTCCCAGCGCCCAGCTTGTGCTCACTACCCAGGAAGTTCTCCGGGCCCCTTCAGCCGGGGTTTATTGAGGCTTCATTGAGTGGATATGATGGATCGATGAAAACATCGTGGCTGACTCAATCTCCAGCCCCTCCCCTCCCTGGAAAGTTCCAACTCTAATGATGTGGCTGGTTCCTCTGGCGACCAGACCCCTATCCCTAAGGGCTTTCCAAAAGTCACCCCATTGACGTGAACTCAGGTTTGTTATGAACTTTAAAGAGGTGCTCCTTTTACCCTTGTCACTCTGTCACTTAGAAAATTCCAGGGTCTGAGGAGCTCGGTGCCTGGAATGAGAGGAAGACCAGGCATGTGTTTCTTATTATAAGCCACAATGCCAGCTTCACGGAGGAGGCGGCATCTGAGCTGGGTCTCGCTGGGCGGGAAAGGTGTGCTGGGCGGAGGGAACAGTGTGTGCGCAGGCGTGGGGCTCGCAGCCCTGAGCACGAGGAAGTCTGGCGGGACGCAGAGCAGGCTGAGAGCCCAGCAGTGACCGGAGAGCGCCAGGCCCCCGCCTCTGGGGTCTGTGGAGCCCAGCGCGGCCCTGACAGTGGGAGTTGGTCAGCTGAAGTTTGTTGAGTGAATGAGTGAGCAGATTCAAAGTAGAAGCTCATTTTCCCCAGTTTTAGTTCTTTCTCTTGACACCCACCCAGTGCTCCACTCTAGGAGGCCCGCGTTGCGCTTGGCCCAGGGAGGAAGGGAGGGTGAGGGGCAGGCCGGGGAGGGTCTGAAAGCCCAGCCGAGGAGCGTGGCCTTTCCTCTAGTGGCCACGGAGAGCCGTGGCAGGTCCCAGAGCCACGGAGGGCCGGCCAGATTGGGGTTTGACAGGTCCCCTGGGCCTAGGACACAGATGTCCTGCAATCCAGAGCAGAAAGGTTGGGAAGTGGTGGAGGACAAAGGCCCCTGCTCCTGGCTGTGCAGCCTCAGACAAGCCCTTCACCTCTCTGATCCTGGGCCTCCTGCAGAATGAGATCAGTCAACATCATTCGCTAAACCGTCCAGCTGGGCCTCTCTGAGCCTGCCTCATTTCTGGAACAAGACAGAGATGTGTGTCTCCTGGGGCTGCTGTGCACATTGGAGGTCACCTGCTGCCTCCGATAAGCCACCCCGAGGACCGGGCTCTGCCCAGCCAGGAGGACTGTGGGCGAGGGGCTCAGGCCCTCACCTGTCCCTCACCCTGTCCCTGGAGCCCTGAGGTGCTCTTGCCTGGCCAGCAAGGACCTGGCCAGTGCTTGCCTCTGAGACCCCTTTTCCTCCCCCTACACCCCCAGCTCTGGCTCCGGGCGCCAAGCTGCCTCCGGCTTCGCCCTCGCTGCTGCTCTGGCCTGCACGGCCTCCCCTCCCCCCCACTCCACCCCCGCCCCCACTGTGAAAGGCCTGGGTGTGTGGATGGGGGAGGACGACCAGCGGGTCAGGGAGATGGTAACTGGTCCTCACACCAGGGCCAGTGAGGGATACAGAGCACCCACCTGAAGACCCCCTAACCATGCCCCTCGCCACAGGTAACCCCCCGCGGCCGAGCCCAGAGCCCGAGGAGCCACGGCGGCCGGCCCCGGCGGAGCGCAGCAGCGGCTCCGGGACTCCCAAGCTGATCCAGCGCGCGCTGCTGCGCGGCACCGCCCTGCTCGCCTCGCTGGGCCTCGGCCGCGACCTGCAGCCGCGTGGGGAGCCCCAGCCAGCGCCCCCCACCCTGTCCCCCACCCAGCCCCCGTCCTCACTGCCCTCCCGGCTCCTCCGCGCCTCCCCCAAGACGCCCGAAGCCCCCGCTTCCCGGTTGAGCCCCGAAGCCCCAGGCCCGCCCACCCCTGCGCCCCTGCTGCTGGAGCTGGGTGTCCCCGCGGGCCAGCCTTCGGCCAAGAGTCCCCGCCGCGAGGAAGCGAGGCGCGGTGAGTGGCCCCGGGAGGCTCCTGCCTGGTGATGGAGGGAGGGAGGGAGGGCTGGGCGGGCATGCAGGCAGTAGGGCCAGCCCCCTGGTCTCCGCTGGGCCCCCCACCTGGGCACTGGGCCCCCCACCTGGGCTGGGCACGCTTGAAAGGAACTGAACCCTAAGTTCAGCCACCAGCGCCAGGAGTGGAGCGGGGCCGCCAGGCTGGCGGAGAAATAAAAGGAATGAGGGTGACACAGTGATGGCAGGTCCTGTTTCTAGTGCTTCGCAGAGGTTGTCTCGGGTCCTGTAGGACCCCTGTGGCAGCTGCTCTGGTGGGCCCATCTCTGATGGGGAACGAAGGCACAGGGAGAGCCAGGGACTGCGGCTCCCACTGCCCAGCCCAGGCCGCCCGCCCCGGGGGCCTGGCTCCTGACCTGCATTGAAGAGGCGCCGTGAGCACGAGGGGCGGGAAGTGAGGAGGGAGGCAGCTCGCTGTGCGGGTGGGGAAACAGGCCCGGAGCCGGGCGCGCCTCCTGGGCACCCAAGGTAGGTGCTGCCTGACCCTCCGTCCTCTCCCTCTTCACAGGAAGCACCTTTTCCCCCCCGCCGGGGGTGTCCCGCTCTGCCCCGGGCACCCCCGGGACCCCGCGCTCACCGCCCCTGGGCCTCATCGGCCGGCCTCGGCCCTCCCCCCTGCGCAGCCGCATCGACCCGTGGAGCTTCGTGTCCGCCGGACCGCGGCCCTCGCCCCTGCCCTCGCCACAGCCCGCGCCCCGCCGGGCGCCCTGGACCTTGTTCCCAGACTCAGACCCTTTCTGGGACTCTCCACCTGCCAACCCCTTCCGGGGGGCGCCTCAGGACTGTCGGGCGCAGACCAAAGACATGGGTGCCCAGGCCCCGTGGGTGCCGGAGGCGGGGCCGTGAGTGGACCGGCTGCTCCCCACGCTCCAGCTGCCCCCGAGGAGCCACAGCAAACACTGGAACAGGAGCCGGGCCCGCCTCTGCCGCTGCCCTGGCTTCCCCCAGGGACCCGCCCCCCTGGGGGGCCAGGAACACTACGCTGCACAGGAAGCCTTCACACTGGATGGGGGGCCTGCACCCCCCGCATGTCTGCAACCTGTGGGTCCCCCGCCTTACCTGCCCCACGGGGCCTGACACTGTGCCCAGCTGGTTGGGAGGACCATAGCCTGTCTCAGGGAATCGCCCCCAGGGGTGGCGCAGGGAGGAGGGAGGTGCGAGGGCGAGGGGCCGGCCTCAGCTGTCACCAGCACTTTTGACCAAGTCCTGCTACTGTGGCCCCTGCCCCCGGGCTCAGTGCCTGAACCCCCTGCCCTGGGGGCCGTCTAGGGCCAGGGTTCTCTAGGTGCCTTCCTGCCGGCCCGGCCAGGGTTGGGGCCTTGGCCTCAGGATCCAATGAAGCCAAATAAACTCCCCAAGCTATCGCCCCAAGCACAGCCTGTCGCCGTTCTTGGAAGTAACCAGGGATCCAACCCCCGGCAGACGGGCAGTGGGCCTGGGCCGGTGCCTTGCGCCACACCCTCTCCTGGGGTCCAGTCCACCAGCTTCAGGCAGGCGTTCAAGGCCCTTGTCAGCCCCCCTGGCACCCCCCAAACTGGCCTCACCCACCTCCTCACCTTGCCAGGCCCTCCCCGCCACCGCAGGTGGCCGTCTGATTGGTCCGGCTGCCGGAGGCCCCTGCTTAGCCTCTGGGGCCAGTTCGTGTGACCTCGCCTGGGACTCGGCCACGCTGCTCGCTGGGCAGCATTCCGGAGGTCTGTCCTGGCCGGCTGGCTGGCTGGCTGGCCCAGGGTCTGGACACAGGAGTGCGCCTCCCTGGTGCCTGGCTCCACTCACGCTCTCCTATCACCATGGGGTCCCAGGCTGGGCTCCCCTCCCCTCCATGGTCCACGGCAGCCAGGAGCAGGGGGGGTACCAGGGAGGATTTGGAATGGGACCTGACGGCACCATCCGTCCCAAGTGCTCTGTGTCCTCCACGCCTTGCCACCCTCTCCCCACCAGACCCATCCCAATCCCATATCCCTGTCCCACTCAGCTGCCCAGGCCACTGCCTTCCATCCAGGAAGCAAACAGTAACGCCCCCCCCCCCTCCATAGGTCTCCGGGCCACATCTGTCCTCAAAGCCCTGCTCCTCACCCTCAGCCCGTTCCTCTCACACCCCAGCCCTTTCTTTCCCACCTTGACAGCCTCTTCTATCCCCAGCTGAACTGTCACTGCTCCAGGAGCCTGCCCAGCGAGGGCCCCTGCTGCCCAGGCTCTCGCCCGCTGCCCAGGGGCTCCTTCAGGGAGCAGAGGCAGGTGACCCGCAGGCTTCCTTGCCAACAGGTGTCCTGTGTGAACGGAGAGGAAGGGACGTGTCTGTCCTCTCCCGCCGTGTCCTCAGGACCCAGGCCCCGCCCGAGTGGATGGGGAGGGGGGTGACCGAGGGGTCGTGTCCCTGGTAAACCACTGCAGTGCGGTTCTGAGCCATTTACCTCTCCGGGCCTCGCCTTCCTCCACCTGGGCCTCAGCACCCCGCTTGGGGGAATTGGGCAAATAATGGCCGTGAACCTGGGAGGCGTGAGCCAGCTCCTCTCCTCCCATTCACACTCACCCAGCTGGGTCCCAGGCCTCACCCTCAGCCACCCACACGGCACCTCCTCCCAGCCCCACCTGCCAATCCTCCCAGTTGCCTGAGGTGGAGCAGCCGGCTCTCAGGACACCTCAGACTCCCGGGCAGACACCATGGGGGGGCTGGGACCCTGGGCTCGATACGGGCTGCTGACTGCGGCTCACCTGCTGGCCCTGGGCCTCGGGGCTGCGGTGCTCCAGGCCCTGGAGGGGCCCCCCGCACGCCGGCTCCAGGCCCAGCTCAGGGCCGAGCTGGCCGCTTTCCAGGCGGAGTATGGGGCATGCCTGCCAACCGGGGCACTGGAGGAGCTGCTGGGCACCGCCCTGGCAGCCCAGGCCCATGGGATCTCCAGCCTGGGCAACGTCTCCGAGGCTGGGACCTGGGATCTGCCCTCAGCCCTGCTCTTCACTGCCAGCCTCCTCACCACCACGGGTAAGGCTGCCAGGTGGCCGGGCAGAAGGAAGCCTCCTAGTTCCTGGGGTCCCTGGGGGCACAACCCTTCCCCCAGCTCCAAAGTGCCAGGCAGAGCCCAGGCCCTATGAGGCCTGACATCACAGCTGGGTCTCTCCACACCAACACACCCCAACTGGTGCCTCAACTTCAGCTGCCAGGAGGGGCGTGGCCTCCCAGCCCCACCCCGAGGCACACTCTGAGCCCCAGGAGAGGTGCCCAGACCCCATGGGCCTGCAGCAAGGCAGGGAGCAGGCCATCGGGTGGGTTCCCGGGCGGAGGGAAGTGAGGGAACCTGGGAGCAGGGTGGGCAGCACTGGCTCCGGAGGGAAGGCTCCTCGGTGAGAAGTTTGAGGAGATGGCAGCCAAGGCGCGGATCTGAGGGGTGGAGGGATTCCCGGCAGAGGGAGCAGCAGGTGTGAGGGGCCGGAGAAAACACGCAGCGGGACACGCAGCCCCGGCTTTTTTGGTTGGTGCTTTTTGTCAGCAAAGTCGCTAAATATTTTTTTTCTTCATCTGTTTTCCAACTTCGGTTGGAAAAATCAGGAAACCTATTTGCATTGAGCCAGGATCCCTGCAGGCCCAGCTGGCAGCAGTGGGCGGGCCTGCCCTCCTGGGCAGAGCACAGGCTCTCCAGGGCACCAGTCCCCACCACTCCCTTTTGTCTCCTGCTTCCTCCACTGCCTAGCTCCTCCGGCGTCTGAGTAAACAAGCTCTGGCCGAGCCGGTCCCGTCCTCCGATGTCCCCCTCTCCCTGCTTCCCGCAGCTGCCCTGGCGCGGAGGCCCTGTCCCGGGCAGCGGCCTCTTCGCCAGCTCTTCTGGGGGAAGAGCCCGGACAGACTTCCCTGCCCTCTGCCCAGCGCATGGCAGGGCCTGAGCAGACCCAGATGCCAGCCCTAGGCCCAGCGTGCAGGACAACGCGACACACCTTTGGGGAATGGAAGGGTGGGTGAGGCCTGCCCAGAGGCTGCAGAAGTATCGGCCCAGGGCAGACCGAGGTTCTTCGAAAGCCAGACTCCTGGGGCAGGACAGCAATTCTCAGAATTGTCCCAGCTACAAGAGGCCTGGGGACAGGCTGTCTCTTTCAGTTTTTCATTTTAAAAGCAGTCCAAAGAGGTTAAGGGACTTGCCCAGGGCTCTCCCGCTGATGGCGAGCAGAGCCAGAGCCCCAGCGGCTCCAGCAGTTTCAGCCACTAGAGGGCAGCCTTCCACTGAGGCGTTGGGGGAAGCGGGGACCCTAGCAGGCGTTGCACACAGGGACTCACCGCCCACCGTCTCTCTGCTGTCCAGGTTACGGCCACATGGCCCCACTATCCGCAGGCGGAAAGGCCTTCTGTGTGGTTTACGCGGCCCTGGGGCTGCCAGCTTCCCTAGCCCTGATGGCCACCCTCCGCCACTGCCTGCTGCCTCTGCTCAGCTGCCCAGGGGCCTGGGTAGCTGTCCGCTGGCAGCTGGCCCCAGCCAGGGCCGCGCTGCTGCAGGCACTTGGTCTGGGCCTGCTGGTGGCTGGCACCTTCGTGCTGCTGCCCGCGCTGCTGCTGTGGGGCCTGCAGGGCAACGACAGCCTGCTGGGGGCCATCTACTTCTGCTTCGGCTCCCTCAGCACCATCGGCCTGGGGGACCTGCTGCCTGGGCGTGACCGGGACCTGAATCCAGTGCTTTACCACCTTGGCCAGATCGCACTTCTCGGTGAGTTCAGCTGCCAGCGAGCACCCAGTGGGAGGAGAGGAGCCTGGACTACAACTCCCATACACCCCTGGGGGAGCTGAGCCTCACAGGGGTAGGGGATTTTAGTTGAAGAACCAGGCAGAGAATTGTGAGCGGCATCAGGTACCAGGGTGGGTCGCCAGGCTAGAGGGGGGCGGAGGGCGTCGGCCGCACCCCCAAAGCTGCCCTGGAGCCTTTCCCCCCAGGTTACCTGCTCCTGGGGCTGCTGGCCGTGCTGCTGGCGGCGGAGACCTTCGCGGAGCTGCCGCAGGCCCGGGCCCTGGTGAGGCTCTTTGGGGCCCGCGGCCCTTCGGCTGCTGAGGACCAGGGTGGCATCCTGGGTCAGGATGAGCTGGCTCTGAGCACCCTGCCCCCCTCGGCTGCAGCCCCAGACCAGGCCCCGCCTGCCGACAGGTGATGGCGCTAACCCCTCTATCCTCCAGAGGCGAAGGGGAAGCGCGGTTGTGGGAACTTCAGAGAATAAAATGTTAGAAAAATAAAATGGTTGCCCTGGCTGGTTTGGCTCGGTGGATAGAGCGTCAGCCTTCGGGACTGAAGGGTCCCAGGTTCGATTCCAGTCAAGGGCACCTGCCGGGTTGTGGGCCCCATCCCCATTGTGGGCCCCAATGGGATGAGCAGGAGGCGGCCCATCGATGAGTCTCTCTCATCATTGATGTTTCTCTCTCTCTGAAATCAATACAAATACATATTTTTTAAAAAGAGTGGAACTTTAGCCGAAACCGGTTTGGCTCAATGGATAGAGCATCGGCTTGGGTGCTGGAAACCAAATCTTATTCAGCTGGGAAAGAGATGTTGACAGGAAGCCAGGAAGGCTGGTCAACAACTTCAATTGCTTTAAACCTTTAGTTGAGATTATGTTAAGTTGAAGCAGCTGTTAAGCCTCAATAAAAGGGGATGGCAGGGCCAGAGCAGTCGTAGTTCTCCCACTAGAGTTGGACAACCGCCTGGCCCTCCAAATCGCCAAATTAAATTTCTTCAAGTCTCTTCATTTGTGTGCGGCCCTTCTCCAGAAGCTGAACCCTGAATTGGAACTCTTTCTATGCCGGCTGGGAAAGAGAGTCCAATATCTGGCGCCTTCAACGCGGGACTTCTGGAGGAGAAGGTATTTTTCGCCTAGAGCGAAGGAGGAAAAATACACCGAGAAAAGGTGTGGAAAATTCACCAGAAAAAAGGTGAGGGAAAATTCACCAGAAAAAAGGTGAGGGAAAATTCACCAGAAAAAGGTGAGGGAAAATTCACCAGAAAAAGGTGAGGGAAGATTCACCAGAAAAAAGGTGAGGGAAATTCACCGCACTCAAAGCCCACGACCAGCTGCAGCGTCACGAACTGTAAGCAGGGTGGGAACGTCTCTTTTCAGCCAGGCTAATGGGGAAGAATTCGGTTATAAAAATATAGAATACAACCCTTTGTTTCCTGAAGAAGGTACATTAGATCTTGAGTGTTTAGCAAAAGGTGGTAAAAAATTTGAAGAAAAGGGGCTTAGCAGCAGGAAACAAGGCACCGCAGAAAAACTGTTTTTCCATGGGGAACACAGTATTTAGATTATTAGAGCCTTTTAGAGAGGCTGAGGAGGAAGCTCCTCACCTGCTTCCCTCTGCTCCTCCCAGAGAAGAGCAGGAAGAAAACTTGAAGGAATGGCCTTTAAATTGACAGCCAGTTTAAATTTGAATTTCCATTTGCTTAGAACAAAGAATATCCTTGCATGATATTATTCTACAATGTCATTTATAATTTTTGATATTTTACAACAGCATATTGTACAATTATTCCAAACAAAATTAAAAATCTAATTTTTGAATGTTTGGCAGCAATTTAAAAGGACATGAAAGGATTTAATCCCTTCCACTGCGTGGAAAGCCTCACTGGGAAGGCACTTGAGCAATTCTATATTGGCCTCTCTTGCCTTATTTGCAAAGAGGGACCCTCTCGTCACAATAATTGCCCACAGCTGTTGCTTGAGTTTTCAGTTCATGCTGAGGTTAAAGCCTCATGGTGGCTGGTACCATGGATCCGTCTCTCACACAATGGGGTGAGCTGGATCCTCCCTGGAGAAGAAACCTGGGTTCCCTAAGATCTGTGATCAATGCCGGGGCCCCGCCAGCAGGCGAGGGGATCCCAAGGCAGGTACTGGGCATGGATGCCATAGGGGCATAGGCTACAAGGAGACAGAACTGAACCTCACATCACCCTGCTTGGCCCTGGAGGATGGCTGGTTAGCCAATGACGGGTAAGATTCCTCACGGGAGGGACAACCTAAGACAGGCACAGCCGCAGAGGGCCATCAGGAGAGGACCTGGGGGCCAACAGAGGTGGGGCACAGATCCTCACCCCCCCAACGCTGCAGAGGCTTGAACACTCGCCCTTTTGAGGGATGTCTCCTGCCCCATGGCTGCTTCACGCTTCCCATACCCAGCTCAGATTGGGACCCAGGCAACAAACAGATTTGGTCCAGCTCAGATTGAGACCCAGCTACAAACAAGAGACTTGGCACGGCTCTTATTGAGACCTAAGCAACAGAAAAGTGGCTGATGGCGACTGTCTTACATCTAAATCCAGCCTAAATCTATGAGTGCTCAGGGCTTTCTTAAGGATGCATATAATCTTTTCTATTAATATTTACAGAGTAAACTAAAAATGTTGTTAAAGTATTAAATTTGACAGTAAAATAGTCAAGTTTTCAAATTAATTTAAATTGGCTAAATGAAATGAGTTAATATTCAAGAAAATTTAATTGTACAACAGGCTGTTCCTAAAGTATTAACCAAAATTTCTATTGGTAGTCCATTTCATGGTAAAATTGCTTAACATACAATAAACCCTAAAGCAGTCATAGTTTTTGTACAAAAAATTAAAAGTTATCAAAACAGCATTATAAAATTTTTCCAGAAGCCTCCTAATAATTAAATAGAAAAAGGGGGATAGTGGAAAATACCATATAAAAAAAAATGTGTCCTGTAAGTAAATTACATCTAGAAAAATTTTTCTTCTTTTGAAAACCAGTTTTCATTTGTAATAACAGTAAGACAGCCATGAAAAACACATAGTACCAAAATAAGTCAAAAAAAAAAATAAGAAAAAAAAAAATTGGGCAAAAAATTAAAAGTATCCCAAGTAAAATTTATAGAAAAGATTCCTTTATTAATTTTGGTCGAGATATGTTTGTATATTTTCAGAAAACAACTCTAAGACCATGTGGATTCCTGCAACAGAGAAGAATTGACAGGAATACTCCAGCCATAAAGGCAGGAGGAAAAACAGACCAGAGATGGAAGATGCTGACGACGCCTTGCCATATTAGCAGTCAGCAGATGTACGTCGCTGCAGGTTGTCCAGGACCAAACCAGAGGTCAGACCTGCATTGACACCATTTTTCCACCATCCGGATACCATTGCTGTCATGGACTCAGAACTCTTGGACATTAAAATTTGGACTCAAAAAACTGTGTGACACTGAATCTGGGATTTAAAAACTGTTGGCCCAGAAAGAAATGTACTGCAGACTGATTTCATTTGACTCTCAGCATAGCCATCGTTGCTTATTTCATTTTTTGTTTGTTTATTTGTAGTCTGCTTATGTAAAATTTTTTAGGGAAAGAAAACGGGGGAGATGCTGGAAACCAAATCTTATTCAGCTGGGAAAGAGATGTTGACAGGAAGCCAGGAAGGCTGGTCAACAACTTCAATTGCTTTAAACCTTTAGTTGAGATTATGTTAAGTTGAAGCAGCTGTTAAGCCTCAATAAAAGGGGATGGCAGGGCCAGAGCAGTCGTAGTTCTCCCACTAGAGTTGGACTACCGCCTGGCCCCCCAAGTCGCCAAATTAAATTCAAGTCTCTTCATTTGTGTGCGGCCCTTCTCCAGAAGCTGAACCCTGAATTGGAACTCTTTCTACGCCAGCTGGGAAAGAGACGCCAATATCTGGCGCCCAACGTGCGGCGGGAAAGAGAGTCCAATACTTGGGGACTGAAGGGTCCCAGGTTCGATTCCGGTCAAGGGCATGTACCTGGGTTGCGGGCACATCCCCATTAGGGGGTGTGCAAGAGGCAGCTGATCAATGACTCTCTCTCATCGATGTTTCTAATTCTCTATCCCTCTCCCTTCCTCTCTGTACAAAATCAATAAAATATATTAAAAAGAAAAACAATGAGATCTTTTTTTTAAAGTGAAACTTTAAAAAAATTAAATGGTCAACAATCCCAACTCCATTTTTTGTCTCTTCTTTGGAAATGGCTGTTCCCCAGTCACCCCAAAGCCCATCAACCTTGGCAGGTCCCCCTCAAAGCCCGCAAGGCCCCTTTAGGATCGCAGACAACCTTATCGGCCTCAGCGCCAAGCCCTTCCGCCCACCGAAAACCGGCGCCCAGAGAGAGCCGTGCAGCGAGGCCTCGTCCAACTTTATTGCTCGCGGGGCCAGGGCGGGCGGCCACCGGGCCCGCCCCGCGGACACACTCACTCACAGACAATAAAAATAAATAGGCCCGGCGCCCTCCCCCCCGGACCGAGGCCGCCCGAGCCTCCGGGGAAGGAGCCACAGCGCCCCCTGTAGGCGGCGCAGCAGCGGAGGCCGCGGTGCCGGGAGCCCGGGGCGGCGACGGGGACGGGACGCGGGCTCCGCGGGGCTCAGCTCAGCGCACAGCGTTCGCGCCGGCTCAGCTGCCGGCTCAGCTTGCGGCGCCGCTGCTCCAGGCCGCGCTCCAGGCGCTCGTCCTCCTCCAGGGCGCTGCGGGGGGACGGGGGTCAGCCCGCGGCCGTGCCGGCGCTGGGGGTGCGCGCCCCGGCCTTCCGCGCCCCGCGCCCCGGCCCTCCCCGCTCACCGTTCCCGCGCCCCGCGCCCCGGCCCTCCCCGCTCACCGTTCCCGCGCCCCGCGCCCCGGCCCTCCCCGCTCACCGTTCCCGCGCCCCGCGCCCGCGCCCCGGCCCTCCCCGCTCACCGTTCCCGCGCCCCGCGCCCCGCGCCCCGCCACTCACATCCGCTCCTTGTGGTCCAGGTCCCGGACCAGCTCGTCGCGCTGGTTCACCAGCGACACCAGCTCCTCCAGCAGGAGCTGCTCCCGGTGCTTCTGCGCCGCCGTCTTCAGCCAGTCTGCGGGCGGGAGGCGGGTCAGGAGGCCCGGCCGAGGCCCGCCCTCCACCCCGGCCCTCCGGCCCATCTCCCACCTTCGATGGCTAGCATGGCCCGCAGCTCCCGGCTCAGCAGCTCGAACCTCCGCTCCAAGTCCTGCTCCTCGATGCTGGGAGGCGAGGTGACGGGTGCCGGGTCAGGGGAGGGGACACGGAGAGCCACTCCCTGGCCCCCATCCACCGCACCACCAGGTCCGAGGACTGGGCTGGGGGCAGAGCTATCTCCTGGAGTCAGCCCTCTCCTTTGTTCCAACAGTTGTTGGAAGTTTATATTGTCTCCTCCCATCCCCCACCCCTTTTTAATTATTGATTTGAGAGAGAGAAACATTGATATTGTTGTTCCACTTACATATGCATTCATTGGTTGCTTCTTGTATGTGCCCTGACCAGAGATCAAACCTGCATCCTGGCCTACGTGGATGACTTTCTAACCACTGTGCTACCCGGCCAGGGTGCCCCACCCCTTTTCAAAATATAAAACAGCCCTGTGTGTTGCTCAGTGAGCATTGCTCCCTGCACTGGATGGTCGTGGGTTCAATCCCAGTTGGGAGACAGATGGGAGGCAACCGATGGATGTATCTCCCTCTCCCCCCCCACTAGAATCAATGAAAAAAAACATTTCCTCTGCAGCCCAGAGGGATTATTTGCATGAACATTACTCAAAAACAGCAGGTAGTAAACTTATTCTGAAAAATCCAAAATGCAGGACGACAAAGGCGATTATGGGCAGAGCGGCTCCTCTGATGCCACTGCGACACCAGCTCAGGTCTCGCTGGGCCTGGTTTCCTGACGTAAAGGAACAGGGTCAACCCGGGGCCTCAGCCCCCACCTGTCTGCACCACATTTCTCTCTCATTAGTACAATTAGCACCAATTTAAGAGGCACACACTTTAAACAGGAAATTGGGGGATCAGATGGCTGAGCAATTTTTCAAAAAGATCCTCGGAGAAGAAAGCAGTGAGTCGCCCTAATCAAAGGAGCAAAGCCCCTCTGCTCTGGGCGGAGGGTGGCGGGGGCCGGGGCAGGCAGGGGCCGCGCTCACAGCAGCTGCAGCTGGTCCTGCCTCCGGATGAGAGCGTTCTTCTTGTTGACCAGCGTGAACCACTCCTGGATCAGCACCTCCTCCTGCAGCTTGTTGGCACCTGTATTGGGCCGACAGTCACGGGCCTGCCCTGGACCTGGGGCTCCCTCATGGCATCCCAGAAGCCAGAGTGCGCCCAGCGAGCTGCTGCCCCGCGCAGGGCCTCAGGGTGCCCGCTGTCAGTGGGGACGTGAACCGGGTCTCGCCTCCCCCAGCTCCCCCAGGCCGGGAAGGGCTGCAGGTGGCCCGCGCTGGGGCGTGGACTCCAGACGCCCACCTGACACCATGAGGCTCCTCAGCTGCGTCTCCACCTCAGCCGCCCGCCCGTCGATCTGCCTCTGCTCCTGCTCCAGGGCCTGCAACTCCGCGCACACGTACTGGCTCGTGTCCTGGAACCGTTGCTGGTGAAAAGGGAGGGGGTCAGGGTGGGTCCCCCCAGGCCCTGCCGAGGGAGTGCCCGCTCGCCAGCCCCTCCCGCCTCCGCCCACCTTACCAGCCCGGCCTCTTCCCCGGGCCCTGGGGACGGCTCCTCCGAGGGGGGCCCGCCACCTGCAGACAGAGCCCAGGCTGAGGCACCCCCAGCGACACCCGCCCCAGGAGGCCCCCAGCGCAGGGTCCCTGAGCAGCTTGGGCTGGGCTGGGTCCGCCCCTCAAAACTACTCACCGGGGGGCTGCTGGGGGGCCGGGGCTGGGGGTGGGCTGGGGGCAGGGCTGGCGCCTTCCTGTGGAGGAAGGAGACAGTGAGGGCTCGGAGGGGCCAGCCAGAGCCTTACACACGCGGGCAAGGACCCGCAGTTCCATCCCTGCCCGCCCGGCTGTGTCTCCGGTCCTGCACACACCGCAGCCCGACCCCCAGCTCCTCTAGGAGGATGCCTCCTCAGAGGAAGGAGGCCTTCTCTTCCCGGCCCTGCGGTCCCGGCCAGTCCACTCTCTGAGCCTCACAGAGCACTGCTGAGAGTCAGGGGCGAAAGACTGTGAGGGGCCAGCTGGAGCCCCTCCTTCCCACACTGCCCCTTCCACGGAGCTCCCCCCTCAGGCCCCTCTGCCTCCTGCCACCTGGTGCTGGCATCCCTGTCCCCGCCAGGGCCCCACACAGGGCCAGCACCGCCACCTACTGACCAAAAGGGGGTGCTCTCCTGTTACCAATGTCTATGCCTAGAGCAGCCCCACATCACATACCCTGTTTCCCCGAAAATAAAACAGTGTCTTATATTAATTTTTTTCTCCCAAAGTTGCGCTAGGTCTTATTTTCGGGGAAACACGGGTATCCCTCAGGACAGGAAAGCTGCCTGGAACCACCGTGCAAACTGCGGCTCGAGAGCCACATGCGGCTCTTTGGCCCCTTGAGTGTGGCTCTTCCACAAAATGGAATGTCACCGTGCTCTTAGACTGGAGGGCAGGACTGGCCCCTGATGTGCCCCGCCCCTGGCGACTCCCAGGGACTGGCCTGGGGGCCCCCAACTTTCAGCTCAGCTGACAGCCAGGCCCCACTGATGGTTCCCCACTGTCCACCCCACCCTGCACCCCTCTGAGAAGGAGTCCCAGACCCCCCTTGCTCAGGTGCCATCTCTCTGGCCGGAGTCAGAGTGGACTCCGCACCAGCCGCTCCCCGGCCCCGCCTGTGACACCCTCAGGCACACCGAAGCTCTTCCTGACCCTCCGCCTCTCCAGCCACAACCCCAGCCAAGGCCCACCGGCAGCCGCAGCCTCCACTCCACCACCCTGACCCCTCCCAGGGCCCCCCTCCAGCTGCAGTCATGGACTTCACTTCCCCAAGCAGCTTCCTCAGCCTGGAGTCAACTTGACCTTCACAACCCGGCTCAGCTCCACCCCCTCCAGAAGCCCCTTCAGGCTGCCGTACCGCTTCCTGCTTCCCTCTTGGCCCTCCATGCCTCTGGGGCGCCCCAAGCCCCAGGCTGGGCAGATGCTTCCCCCATCATAGCCCCCCCCCCCCCCCCATCGTGCTGTCAGTTCCCCAAGTCTCCCCGGCCAGAGGCGGCCCCTGCAGACAGGGTGGGCCCAGAGCACGCACTCAGAGCACACAGATTACCGTAAAGCTTTATTATATTATCATTAAAGAATAGCTGACATTGACTCAGCGTTCATACCCTGGGCATTCTGCCTGCATTCGCTCATTTAGTTCCCCAACAACCCGAGAGGCAGGCACGACTGCTCTGCCCACTTTACAGATGAGGAAACTGAGGGTCACAGGTGAGGCTCATACAGAGCCTGGCCGAGGGCCCAGGGACGCTAAGCCAAAGGTTTGTTCCCAGCGTGGCCACCGATTGGCTGCTTGCCTCTAGGCCAGTGGTCGGCACACTCATTAGTCAGCAGAGACAAATATCAACAGCACAACGACTGAAATTTCCTTTGAGAGCCAAATGTTTTTAACTTAAACTCCTTCTAACGCCACTTCTTCCAAATAGACTCACCCAGGCCGTGGTATTTTATGGAAGAGCCACACTCAAGGGGCCAAAGAGCCGCATGTGGCTCTCGAGCCGCAGTTTGCCGACCACGGCTCCAGGCTGAACAGGACCCCTGGGCCTCTGTTCGTGCTCCTGAATGTCAAATGGGAAGAAATCCCAGCCCTGTGTAACCTGGAGCTGCAGGCTCCAGACTGATTCCCTTTTCAGAGACACCTGAGGGGGTTCCCAGGCCTGTGCCTCTCTGGTCAGGAGGAGAGCACAGGGCAGGCAGGGGCTTTGCCCGGTCACACAGCCAGTAGTGCTGGCCCAGAAGAGGCCACCCTTCAGGCTCAGGAGCCTCTTTCACCATCTCCCTGAGCCTCACTGTTCCCACCTGCGAAATGGGCTAGTCATTCCCCCAGGAAGGGGCACGGTGAGGAGTCACATGGGTGTGGAGGCAAGCCAGCCCCAGCAAGAGCTCACCAGCAGCAGGCAGGGGCAGGACAGCGCAGAAACCCAGCCTCAGCAGCAGCCGAGCTTACTCACAGCAGCGCTGGTGGGAACTCCAGCACTTCCTCCTGTCTGCCCAGACCCCCCTTCCTAACCCCGTGTGCGGCCCCTGCTCCCTGCTCCCTGCAGCCCTGTTGCGGCCCCACCCCAGCCTCAGGGCGCCGCCTCCATCCTCCTCCAGGACACGGGAGCGCCCCAGGGCGAGGCCGGCGGACATTCCCCCTCACACAGAGGCATGGGGATGGGCGCGCGGCCCGAGGAGAAGCCCTCTCCGTCCCATTGACCCAATATCTCCTGTGGGACAAGAACAGGAAGAGGCCTGGCTGGGAAGGACCAGGAGACTGCAGGATGAAGTCTCCCTTTATTTTTTTATATTTTGATTAATTTCGGAGGAAGGGAGAGGGAGAGAGGATAGAAACATCAATGAGGAGAGAGAACCATTGATTGGCTGCCTCCCGGCCCATAGGTAGGTAGACGCTCAACCACTGAGCTACGCCACTGGGAAGCCATTAGCAAGGCTGTGCCCAGAGGCCAGCAGTCTGGCCAGGCCTGTGACTGTGTCCCTCTGACTCCTGTCAGTCACACCTCCTGGGGTGCCTCTGGGCCCTCCGTCTCTCCTCAGGGCTCAGGGCTGTGCCTCTGACCCTGCCCTCAAGGCTTCTGCTCCCCCGGCTGCCTCACCCCCACCTGCGGGCCTGACCCCAGAGGCCTGGCAGTTCCTGCCGCCATGTTTGGCTTGTGCGGGCCCCTCCACTTTAGAGCCACCCCTGGCATCCCCCACCCCACCCCGGAAGCCTGCCTGTCCTGTCCTATCCGCCTGGCTCAGAAAAGGCTTTCCAGTGTATCCCCTTTTCCTTAGAACCCGGGAGCCATCCCGGGCAGCTGGAGGCTGCAGTGGTCTGGCCGCTGCTCCTGCCGTCACAGGCAGGATGGTGTAGTGGGCAGACCGGCTGGAAAGCCCCGGCCTGGACTGCAGTGGCTCGGAGTCAGTCCTTGCGCAACCCCCTGCCCCCTCTGGGACCATCTCCCCTTTAAGATCTGTGGCGACCACCCACGTGACACCCCTGCAGACTCTGGCCTGAGACCCGCAGGGGATGAATGGAGTAGGAGGGTGCCCAGCGGGGTCTCCAGTCTCCAGCCCCCCATCACCACAGAAGGGAGGAAACTGGTTCCCAGTTTAAGGACCCACGCCAGAGACTCAGTGCTGGGAGGCCCTGAGCGGCCCCGGGGTACGGACAGCTATGCCCCCAGCCTGCGAGGCGGCGACTGCTAGCGGCTGACCCTGGGCCACCTGCAGGGGAAGGAGGGCCTGCAACCAGGAGCCTCTGGGCCTCTCCTTCTGGAGCCCATGATTCCAGGAGCTCGGTGCCAACACTTCACCGCCGCCAGCAGGTTCCCCCGGCCGCGGCCAGGGCTCTTCCCTCTGATCGGAGAGTGCCTCCCCGAGCCCGCGAGTCCCCAACCCCAAACCTCACCCCGCGCCAGCTCTGCCCCGGGGCACCCGTGCCCCCCGGGGGAGGGGCACTCACCGCGGCCGCGGCGCCGGCGTCCGGGTCTTCGGCGGAGAAGGAGCTGCTGTTCCGCAGCCGCGAGCGGCGCTTCCGGAGCAGGTCGGCGTCCCGCACGTGGGAGAAGGAGCCGTGCGCGCGGGGCGGGGGCACCGGCCCGGCCTCCCCGTTCACCGAGGCCCGGCGCAGCCGCACGCCCCCCGCCGCCGGCGCCGCGGCCCCGTTCACCAGCCCCTCCGCCGCCGCCGGGGCCTCCGCCGAGCGCGCCTCCGGGGCGGCCCCGGCCCCCTGGTCCTCGGAAGCGCCCTCGGGGGCGGCCCCTGCCCCGCGGCTCGCGGGCTCCTGGGGCTCCTCGGGCGGCTCCGCCCGGTGCTCCCGCAGCCGCTGCGCCAGGCCGCTGGCGTCCAGGGCGTCGGGCGGGCCGGCCTCGGCGCTGGCCACCCGGTACTTGCCCGCGCGGCCGCCGCCCTCCAGCTGCACCAGCTGCAGCTCCTGGCCCGTGCAGAAGGCGCGGATCTGGCACAGGTACGTCATGACGATGAGCTTGTCCGGCACCGACAGCAGCACCATGTCCGCCGGCTCCAGCAGCCGCGCCACGCCCAGGGCTGCGAAGCCGTCGAAGGCCTGGGGGCGGGGGGCGCGGGTCAGCGGGGCGGCCGGGGGGCCGTTGCCCAGCTCCGCTGTGGCACCACCCTGGGCCGCCCAGGCTCCCCACGACCCGCGTGCCAGGGTTTGCCTAGCAACGCCTCCACTCTCCCATTGGAGGGAGCGTAGCAACAGTGCAACGCTCATGCAACCCAGCAACGGCGCAGGAAGGAGCGGCTCTGGAAAATCCAACTAGTGGAAATACGCTTTAACACCCACACAACGAAACTGTGGGACACCAACAACTTAGATTTTAAAAGAACAGAAGGATAAAAGGTGGCAGAACTTCCAAAAGCCAGCTGATTCCGCTCCTGCAGACATGATAATGGACCGCAATCTTGGCCCCCCTTCCCGCCAGGCCCTGCTCCCCGCCCCCCTCACCTGCTTGTTGTTCTGTTTGATGTTGAGTGGGTCCAGGGAGGCGTAGTCACTGTGGAGAGAGCTCTGGTCAGAGGCTGGTTCGCAGGGCCCCCGCAGGCTCCCCAGGGCACTCCTGCCCCCTCTGGGGGCTCACATCTTGTCCGGGTAGAATCGGTGCAGGATGGCGCAGAAAGCCAAGCCGTTGCGCCAGGATGTAGTAAAGTTGGTGACTCGGACGCCCCGGTAGCCAGCGGTGACTTCCTGGCACCACTCCAGCAGCGACTGGCTGGAGCTGACCGGGGCGGGTGGTGCCTGGGGACACAGGGATGGGCTCAGGGGACGTGAACAGACGCCCTCTGCCCTTGGGCACAAAACAGCCCCAGCTCTGGGTTTGTAGGAGTCACCAGAGACCACCGGCCAGAGCCTCGGAGCCAGGCAAGAGTTTCCAGCTCTGGGGTCATCTGCCAAAGTCATCTACACGATCTTACCCCCAGGCAAGGTCAGGCAAGGTCAGAGGTCACAGCAGCCACACCTCAAGGTCAGCCCAGAAAAATCAGCTTAAGGATGTCCCACTCCATGCAGCCCAGGGAAGACAGGGTGGGGGGGCCAGGGTGTCCCCGGAACTGAGCCCGCGCCACCCCACCCTGTCGGCCAGGTGGGTCCATGCAGAGCCGCCATCGGCTCAGCCCCAGGTTAGTGGGAAGCAGAAGACTGGGCCTCGGCAGCCCCCATCCCTACCTGGCTGCAGGGCAGCCTCCCGTCCTCTTCGGGCTCCTCTGGGGAGGAGGCCCCTGAGGGCCTGGGCACCCCAGCCCCTGCCCCACTGGCCACCTGCGTCTCAGTCAGGCTGGCCTCAGCTTCTCTCCCCTTCTCGGTTCCCAAGACCCCAGCCTCTGCTTCCTGGGCCTCAAAAATACCAGATTGGTTCTCTGGGGGGACTAAAACTTCTGTCTCTGCTTCACAGGCTCCCCACACCCCAGGCTTGGCCTCTGAGATCCCCAAAACCCCAGCTTCCAACTCCTGGCCCCTCAACACGGCAGGCCCTGCCTCTGATCCCTGGGACCCTAACGCTCCTTGCTCAGTACCTGGGGTCGTTACCGCCTCCTCAAACACGAGGCCGGTCTCTGCCTCTGGGACCCCGGAGACCGAGTTCTCAGCCTCCAAAACGGTGCTTCCTGTCTGTGGAGTCCCCAGTCCCTCAGCCTCTGACATTCCAACCTCTGGCCCTGAGACCCCTGCATCCCCCACCTCTGTCTCAGTCCCCGGCCCTGGGGCCTCTGAACCCCCAGCTGCTACCTCCTGGGTCCCCGATATCTCAGCTTCTGTCTCAGTCCCCGCCCCTGGGACCCGTGAACTCTCTACCTCTGTTTCTATCTCGGGGACCCTTGAGCCCTCAGCTGTTTCCTCCGGGGTCCCCAGAATCTCTGCCTTTGTTGTCTCAGTCTCAAACCCTGGGCCCTCAGAACCTCCTACTTCTGTTTCCTGGGTCCCTGACACCTCGGATTTTATTGCTGAGACCCCTGACCCTCCCACCTCTGTCACCTTGGCCCCCGGTATTGCAGGCTCTGCAATCTCTGCTTCTATTCTCAGTACCTCTGAGACCCCTGTTATCACCTGGGCCCCCAGAATCTCAGTCTCTGCCATCCCAGTCTCTGTTCTCAGAACTCCTGAAGCCCCAGCCTCTGTTCTCTGGGCCTCCAGTTCCTCAGACTCTGCCATCCCAGCAGCTTCCGACTCAAGGACCCCTGAGCTCGCGGCCTCTGTCTCCTGGGCCTCCGACACCTCAGCTTCTGCCGTCCCGTTCTCTGTCTTTGGGAACCCTGACCCCTCTGCTCCTGTCTCCTGGCTCCCCAGAACCTCTGATTCTGTCCTCCCCATCTCTGTCCCCAGGATGCTCAAGACCCCAGTTTCTGCCTCCCAGACCCCCAGATCCCTAGACTCCGCCCCCTGGTCCGCTGTGGGGGGGGCTTCCTGGGACCTGCTCACCTGGGGGCTGGTGCTTGCTGCTCCAACAGAGGGGCCCTGCTCCAGGCCTGTCCCCCCAACACCAGGGGCCCCACCCCTCACCTCTGCACTCTCTCTCTCCTGGCCTGCAGGTCCCGCTGGGGGTGAGCTCTGGGCAGCAGGAGCCTCATCCTGGGTGCTGACCCCAGACCTCTCCTGAGAGGTGCTCAGAGGAGCCTCAGGCGTTCCCTGCACCCTTGCCTCAGACATCGCCCCTGGAGCCTCTGGTCCCTCAGTGTCCACCTGTCTCATGTCTGACCTCTGCTCAGCATCCACTTGACTAACTTCTGAACTCTCTTCAGCCTCCCCCGTTCGGACCTCTGACCTCTTAGTGTTCACCCCTCTGGGTCCTGACCCCTGCTCACTGTCCACCGCACTGGCCTCTGGCCTGTCCCCAACGGTGCCTTCCTCAACCTTGACTGTCTGCTCTCCCAGAGAGTTCCTGCGGCCTCCGTCCTCCATGCCTGCGTGCGGCCTGGCGCCCTGGGCCTCTGTCCCTTCCTGAGGGCTTGCCCGGGCCTGGGTCTCCCCAGCAGAACCCACTCCTGCGGGGGGAGCCCCCGAGGCTCTGGGGGCCTCATCTTTCCCTTGGGGGACTGAGGGCCAGGGGGCATCAGAGCATTTCCGGAGCCGAGGGGCCGGGACAGGGGCCAGATCCTGGTCTGAGTGTCTTGAGGACCTGAGGAGAGAGCAGGAGGGGGTGTTGGAGGAGTCTTTTGCCCCCCCTCTCTCAGCCCCGGCCCCGCCCCTCAGATTGCCGGGGTGCTGGAGAGGCAGGTTGGTAGAGGGCGTGCAGCGTCCTAACTGGTCAGGGCACGGGGGTGGGGCTGGTTCCAAAGCTCACCTTGTCTCCTGCGGGGTTCCGGGGGGCCTTGGGGCTCCAGGCCCCACCTGGCCCCCGACTACAGTAGCTGGTTCTGACCCCTGGCCCCGGGAGGCCCTGGCGGGGGGCACAGGGACACTCACAGGGGCTGGGCTGGCATCCTTAGTACCCGGAGGGCTGGCACCTGGGGAAGGAAGAGGGAGGGGGTGCTGAGGCCTGGGCCCTGACTGGAGGCCCAGGCCCCATCCAGCCCCAGTCTGGGCCTCACCTGCCTGCCAGGGCTGTGCTCGGCCCTCCTCCTCCTCACACAGTGTCTTCAGCTCTCGAGGGGGATCTGGGGGAGGGTTTGGAGGGGCAGGTTCAGCTCAAGGCAGAGCCTCGAAGGTCTGACCCCCTCCCTCCAACTGGAGGCTGGGCCTACCTGGGAGCCGCCCCGGCCTCAGGGCGCCGCCCTGGCCTGCGAGAAGAGACAGGCCCGAGAATGCAGAGAAGAGAGAGGACAGGAGGACAGACAGAAAAAAAGGCTCAATAAGCTAAAGGGAAGGATGCGGAAGCTGTGACGGGCAGAAGCGTGGGCGGTGAGAGTGGTGAGGGTGCCCCTCTCTGCATCCACCTTGGGCACAGTTATAGGACAGGGACAAGATGGGGGAGGCACCCAGGCAGGTGGAGAGGGCCAGAGGCACGGGGGACCTGGGAACGCATCCTGCAGGTCAGCCAAGGCCCCAGGCCCCACAGGAGCGGGGGCCCAGTTTGGACAACCAGGGTGGCAGGGCAGAGCGGCCTGGGCAATTGTGCGCTCCGTCACTGGGCGTACACCAGCTGCCCCTGCCCCACAGGGCAAGTGGCTTCTATGCCCCACCCTCCCTCCGTCTTGGTGGTCAGGCCACGGCCACGGCTGTGCGCCCACCTGGCGGGGGGGCGTGAGCCCGCGCCTCAGGGACCCCTGGGCCGTTAGCCTCCTCCTCGTCACTCTCAGCAAAGTCGTCCAAGTTGCCCACGTCAGTCGGCTTCACGCTCATAAGGCTCGCCAGACTCTGCATGTCATCGTCCCTGGGGGTCAGAGGTCAGGCGTGAGGGCTGGGGTCAGAGGCTGAAGACGAGGGCCGGGGAGGGAGGGCGGGCGGACACTCACGTGGCTCGGCCCTCTCGCAGCAGCACCCCCGACAGGGTGAGGCTCAGCTCCGCATGCACCACCTTCACCGACTTGGCCTTCAGCCGCAGCCGCAGCGGGACCTGGGCGGGCACGGGCCCCGCATGGCGGGCCAGGTCCACCTCGGCCGAGGCCAGCACCTTCCGCTGCCCCTTGGACTCCTGTGGGCGGGGGGGGGGGCCTGAGGAATGAGTACAGTGCTGCCCCCGAGCCCCCAGCCCTCAGCCCCCAGCCCCCCACAGCACTCACATTTTCAATAACAAACGTCCACTCTTTGGCCTCATACTGGTCCACGTGGGGGTCCTGGGAAAAGGGGGGCACCGGTGAGCGCAGGGGCTGCTGGGTAGGGGCAGGGCCGGGAGCAGAGCCTGTGCCGGCTCAGGGGTGTGTGGTCGGGGCCTTCCCACTTGCTAGTCCATCCTGCCTGGGCTGCCCCAGCTCCTCCTGGTCCCAGCTCTGTCCTACGCCGGTGGCAGGTCATGTGTCGCCTCCAAGGAGACCTCCTGGCCACTCCCGCTGAATAGGCAGCCCTATTCTCGGTCTCACCAGTCTTTCCTATTTGGATGGACAGCCCGGCAGGGGACCCCAGCCCAGGTGCCTCACGTGGAGGCAGACTCACCCTGTACAGGGTGACGGAGATGTCCACGTTCTCGGGCACCATCCACACCACGGTGCCACGGTACGGGTTCTGGATGCCCGGCTGCCAGCTGTGGGCCTGCAACGAGCAGTCTGAGTCCTCCCCCAGCCGTAATCCTCCCCTCCCCCTTTGCCCTTGCCTTCAACCTTGATGGCATCTTTCTCTCCATTCTGTGGATTCTGATCCGAACCAGAGCCCAAGACCCCATCAGCCCTCACTCACGTTACCCACACACCCCCTGGCCCACCCCTAGCCTGCACCCCCAGCTCACATCTCCCCACCTTGGAGCAGATGCGCCGGTTCCGCCGGGTCCACACCACCACCAACTTATCCGGCTGCCTGGGAGGGGGGAGGGAAACAGGGGGGACACTCAGTCAGGCTGCCCAGCTCCTCCATCTCCTCCAGGGTCCTCCCTCTGCCCACACTGCCCTCCCCCAGGAGAGGGCATGGACAGCCCCTTATCTGAAGCCACAGGAGCAGGGCGGGGCTGCTGAGCAGGGTGGGGCCCGGGGCAGAAGGGCGAAGGCCTGATGTGGTCAGGGGGGTTATGAAGGCAGGGAGAAGGGACCGCACAGACGGACACCGAGAAACTCAGGAGGTCCCGCCAGAGGCCCAGCGAAGCCCTTCACTCACACCGTTTGGGAAGCGCCTCTCAGGGGCAGAGCAGAGGCAGGACCCCTGGGCTCAGAACAACAAAGGTGGGGGAGTGCTAACCAAGAAGAAAAAGACCTCACGCCGACCTCAGAGGCGGGAGAGAGCCGCGCAAGCGTGTGGTGCCTGCACGGGGTCTCCCGGAGATCGGATGTGGGCACAGAGCACGTGTGGGGAGGGGTGGGCAGTGAGGGGGCTCCGGGGTCGATCGGAAAGTGCAAGGTCCAAGTTTGGGGGGAGGCCCCGAGTCAGAGGAGGGGGCAGGGGTGAGAGGTGGCCAGAGGGTCAGAGGCCCCCCTTGTTTTTAGACACCCTCCCAGGGCCTTCTGTGCCCTCCCAGGGACCCGGCCCGGGAATCAGCGTGCGTCCCACCTCTCACACCCGGAGCCCCGCCCCCAGCTTTGCAGCGTGATGACTCCTATGAGGGGCCTCCGGGAAGGCCTCCAGGCTCTATCGAAGCTGAGCAGACGTGCAGGGCAGACTCAGAGGGCAGGCAGAGGCGTGAGGAGACAGAAAACCCAGAGGAGAGTCCCCGGGCAGGGCCCCGTCCCCGCACGGAGCTCACACGTGGCTGGGCCTGGAGGAAGGGGCCCCTTTGGGTGAGAGGGTGGGGGCGGCCGAGGGCAGCAAGAGCCTCCTTGCCTGAGCCCAGTCCCCTGCCAGGGCACTGAGCTCACCCAGCGCACTGCCCCTTGGCTCTGGAGTCGGAGCCAAGATGCATGGCTCCTGTTCAGACCCTGAGGATCTGAGGCCTGGAGATACGGGGGCCGGGAAAGGTCACACAGCTGACCCTGAGGCCTCTGGCCTGGAGCCAAGCTCCTTCCCCCACCCAAACAGCAGTGATGGCCCAGCAGGGGTACCCATGGGGCCTTCCCAGAAAGGGGAAGTGGACAGGGGTGCCCAGGGAGGGCGGGGCCTGGCCGGCAGTCTGACTCAGCTGGGCACGCCCTCCCGGGAGCTTGGACCTGGGCAGGGGCAGCTCCCGAACCTGGCTCAGAAGCCGGGAGGCCTGACTGCCCGCTGTGACTCACGCGCGGTGACATTGCCCACACCTTTGGCCTGCTCTGCGGGACCATGTCTGCTGTCCTCTGGCCTTCCCCGCGTGGCAGAGCCAGAGGCCAGAGTCCCCCCTGCCAGCCCGGCTGCCCGGGCCTCGCTGAACGGGCCGGCCCAGCAAGACCAGGGATATGGCAGCGCCCTAAGGGACCCCAAGTCCCTTCCTACCCCGCAGCCCTTCCTCTCGGGAGCCTAAATTTAGCCTGGCGGGTAAGATCCCCTCAGCTGTGCCCTAATCCAGCCAAGGCAAGCTGACACCGGTGAGCACATATATTTAGGGTGTGACGCAGGGGCCTCGGCAGCTGGGGAGAACGAGATACCCTGTCCCGGCCCCCACGTCTCCCCCACCCCACTACCCTGCCTCCCCAGGCCTTCTCTTCCCGGACCCACCACCTCCGAGGCCCCTTTAAGCCACTCCCGCCTCCCTCCTCATCCCTCCAGCGCTCAGTTTCCCCTTTTAAGGACATGGTGGAGATGAATCCAGCCTCCCGGAGCCCAGGCTGGCTGGGTGGGGGGGGGGGGGAGAGTGTTCTGGCTCAACAAGTGGGCAGGGGGGAGGGGCAGCATCCTTGTTCCCAGCTGCACTGAGGCTCCTGGAGGCTTCCCCCCAGCCCGGCGCCGCACACCTCGGAGCTGGCCACCCCGAGCCATCCTCTGGCCAAACCAGGCCTCCCTTCCCCCAGCCCGGCGCAGCTGAGGGAAGTGCGGGCACAGACAGCCTCAGCGGAAGTCCTGACTCCACTCCCTCAGAGCTCCCCCCACCCCCTCCAGCTCTGGGGGTCCCACAAGCTGCCAGGGCCCTTCTGGTGCCTGTGCCCGGACAGCAGGGGCTGAGCGGGGGGCGGGGGCACGTTGGCCCAGCGCTGGGGCCGGGTCCCCGGGCTCCGGAGGCGGGATGGGGTCCCCGCAGCCCGGGCCCCGGTGCACTCACCATTTCTTGGTGCACTCCACCACCAGCTCGTGGTAGCAGGCCACGAAGTGGAACTTGGCGGCCCGCTTGCCCACGCGCTGCAGGCGCTTCCACACCGAGGTCATGGCCCCGCCGGCGCGCTCAGAGCCCGGGCTCCCGCTGGCCCGCCGCCGGCCCCGCCCAGGCCCCCATGGCTCCGGGGCTCCGGCGCGCTGCCCGCCCCGTCGGGGCGGAGGTCTGAGGCTCGGACCCGGGCCGCCTGCGCCGGCGGGTCCGGCTGGGACGCGGGGCCGGGGCGTCGGTGCCGGAGCGCGGAGCGGAGCGCGCCGTTTCCTGCAGCCGCACCCCCGTCGGAAGGCGGGCGGGGCGCGGCGGGCGCGGGGCGGGGCGGCCGGGCTTCCGGGGCCTTTCCCCGCCGGGGGGGGGGGGGGGCGGGACTCAGCGCCGCGCGCTGCGCCCCGAGGCGGCGGGGCCGCGCTGGCGGGGAGAGGGCACCCCGGGGCCGCCCTCCTCCTGCCCACAGCCCCGCGGGGTGCGCACCGGCAGCCCATTCCCCAGGCGGGGAAACTGAGGCCCAGGAAAGGGGAGACTGCTCAGGCGCGCCCATCACTCATCGCCGGCCCCGGAGGAGGAGTCAGGCACCGGGTGGCGGCTCTGCCGCGGCAGCATCCGTGTGCCGGGCAGAGCCGGACTCCTCAGCCTCAGCAGGAGCCAGTCCCAGCACCAGCAAGCGGGGCTGGAGACTCAGACCCCGTCCTCCAGGAGTGCGGGCCCTGAGCACGCTCTCCCGCTGAGCCCCCGCGCCGCCTGTCAAACAGGCGGAATGACAGCCCCGCCTTCCCCAGGGATGGAGATGTGTCCGCTTACACCGTGAGGTCTGGTTAGGTGGAATCCGTTATCACTAACGGGATGTGTTTACTCTCCTCCCCTCGGAAGTCGCCTGTTCACACCTAGATTAGAGCCGCAGCCTACCCGTCCGCCCAGTATGGTAATGAGCCGCGGGTGTCAAGCCCAGTTAGGGAACTGGCCCGGGCAGCCCATCGGCCTGTCCCCACCCTGCGGGACCAGCTCCGCGAGGTGGGTGGGCGGCCAGAGAACCTGGAGCCTGATAACACCCGCGTCCACAGAACGCCTCCTCCGCAGGAGGACCCGTGACTGCCTCCAGGAGGCAAGAACCCCAAAGTCTGTGTCCGCTTTGAGGCCTGACCTCTCTTCTCGTTCTCAGACGCTGTGGGGTGGTGCCCAGCCAGCATGGCTCAGTGGTTAGTGACCTATGAACCAGGTCATGGTTTGATTCCTGGTCAGGGCGCATGTCTGAGCTGTGGGCTCGATCCACAGTGAGGTGGCAGCCAACCAATGATTCTCTCTCATCACTGATGTTTCTCTCCCCCTCTCCCTTCCTCTCTGAAATCAATTATATATATATATGTGTGTGTGTGTGTGTGTATGTCTGTCTGAAGTTGTAGGGTGTTTGTGTGCATGAGGGAATGAGTACCCACCGTCCCCTCAGTCCTCGAGTGTGCAGGCTCCTCTGGCGGGGTTCGCTCCGTCCCAGCAGAGTAGGCCTCCATTTTCTGTCTTTTAACTTAAACCCTCAAGGTCCCAAGTGCTGAGGGGCGGGGCCAGGCAGTCTGTGAGACTGAGGAATGGGGGTGTCTGGGACCTTGTCTTATGCACCAAAGCCTGGGGCACTGACCGCCATCGCTCCTTCAGGCGTGTCTGGCTTCTGGGAGACTGGGATGGCGACTTCACCCCCGTCTACCTCCGCAGCGCTCTCCTCCCGCCCACAGCGCACTCACAGCTCCCAGGCCCTTCCCAGAAGCGCCTTCCCCTCTCCCTCCGAGGGGCCCCTTGGCCCGGAGCTCCGGCCCACCCATTTCCTGTGCTGCTCCAGCTCCGCCCCCCTCCACTGGGGTGGAAAATTTCTCTCCTGAAGATGGGCGGCTCCTTCTCCTTCCCTCCAGGCCGGCCAGGAAGGCCCAGTGAGCGGGGAAGGAGGCTGGGCGCCCAGGCCTCCGGCGAGAGAGGGGAAGTGACTCGCCCGCAGACACACAACCGCGGGACAGGCCGGGCCAAGAAAGCTCCCCAGCGCCTGGGGGAGGATTCACACCCTGCCGCCGCCAACCGTTTCCCACCCAGGGTCCTGGCGCCACCTGCCGGCGGAGCTCGGGACCGCACTGGCCAAAAACCGCTATCTTCCCGCCCCAGAACCAAGCAGTCGGAGCACCAGGAACGCTGAGAGTATTTATTTATCTATGGCCCAGGGGGCTGGCCCCTAAACTTAAATGCCCTGCAGAGTCATGGCCCTCCAGGCCGTGGGCGAGTGCAGGATTGGGTCCTGGAGCCCTTGTGGAGGGCAGGGGAAGCCAGGGACGGAGGTGGCATGCCCCTGAGCCAGCAGCTGCCAACAGCAGCAGCAGGGGAAAGGGAGATGGGAGCCAGATACCCATCCCAATCCCAGAGACACCAAGGGAGAGCAAGATGCTTTGGGCCCGCTGACAGACGGAGCTGGCTAAGCTGAGGTGCATACACGTGGAGAAGTGGAGGCCAGTGCCATGGGCAGAGGCTGTAGCCCAGGTGCCTGCCCCAGGGCCAGCCAACCTAGACAGAGGAGGCTGGCAGCTGTGCCTCTGAGGGGTGGAGTGAGGTGGCATGGGGGAAAGCAGGCACTAGAGTCTGAGTACTTGTTGGGGGGAAGTTTCTGAGCCTTTTGCATGGTACATCCCCCCCCCCCCCCCCAGCTCTTCAGAGGTTGATGTGGAAGGCGTCTTGCAGCCACTGGTCACGGGCATTGTGCGTCTGGGGCACAGTGAGGGGAGGCGGGTCTGGGGGCAGGCTGGCATCAGGAGGCTCGTCGTCATCAGACAGGCCAGCATCAGGTGGGTAGGAGCTGTCTGAATGCAGGGAGGAGGACAGGTCCTGGCACAGGCTCAAGTCTTGGCACAGGTGCTTGTAGTCCTGGATAGACTCGTACAGGCCCCACAGCTGGCACAGCAGGGACATGTCCAATTGCCGCAGCCCCACCTGCAAAACACTGAGGGTGGGCTGGGGTTGGGGTCCAGACCGCCCTCAGCCCGGCCACAGCCCTCGCCATCTCCCCACACTGAGTGAGAATGTCTGTGGACACAGACACCACCTGCGAGCTGTGACTCTTTAGCAAGTCACGAACCCACATCTGCAAGGACGGAATGAAATCCGAGGAAAGCGTTTAAAAACACGTGAAACTACTGCTATAAAGGTAACTGCTTACCGTTACCCTAGCCCTTCTGACCCGGCCGGACAGGCCGGCCCCTGCATGTCCGGAGCCCCGGGCCAGCTGGTTCCGCGCTCTGCACCCCACCCCGCCCCACCCACCCCGGACTCTCCTATCCGGCAGCAGCACCCACCCCTCTCCCACCCGAACCCCCGCTCACCATCTCTTTGCGCAGCGCCGCCAGAGCCGAGTCCAGGTTGACCGGGCGCCGCGGGCCGGGGGCGCCGGCGGCGGGGCCGGCGTTGGCAGCGCCCGGGGCGCCGCGGGGCCCGTCCGGGACGCGGGCCGCGCGGCTCAGCTCGTCGTGGATGCGGCTGCGCTGGCTGTAGACGCGCTCCAGCTCCCGCCACGAGCCGCCGCTGGCGTTCAGGAGCCCGCTGAGGCCGCGCGGCAGCGGCGGGAGCCCGGCCAGCGCGCAGCCCGCGCCGCCCGGCGCCTCGGCCGAGGGCAGCCCGTTCATGGCCGGGCCGGCGCCTTCCGCTCCGCCGTCCGCTGGCTGCCGCCCTCGGGCCCGCTCCCCGGGCCGCACCGGCGAGCCCAGCGCCCGCAGGCCGCGCTTTGTTCCTTCCCAGAGGCCTCCGGCCCCGCCCTGGGCCCGCCCCCTGCGCGTGGGCGGGGCCTCTCTTAAAGGGGCGGCGGCGGCGGGCCCAGTCCCCTCCCCCTGTGCAGGGAAAGCGGAGTGAAGGGAATGGGTGACAGAGGGAGGCAGAAAGTGGGGAGGGAAGAGACCAAAAGCTGCGGCCACGGTTCACTCAGTCCTTTATGCTCCCCCAACACTGTGTCATTGTCCGGCCCAATTATAACTCCCAAGGAAGGGGATCTAAGGGGGGTCAGGAGGCCGGGGTAAATCCATCCCTGGTCCCTAGCGTGCAGCCTGGGGCCTGTGAGTGTCTGAGTGCCAGGCTGCGCAGGAAAGAAGCTACCAAGGGGACAGGAATCCGTCTCACTGAAGGGGAAGGAGCACGGGTGGCCCAGGCGGCTAGGGGTGCTGCAGAGGCCCAGCCCTCCTGTTCCTGACTTCGAGGAGGCGAGGAGGCAACTATCCCAGAGTCCTCTCCCTCCCTGTCACCCCCCGAGTGGGGAAAATGAGCAGAAACAAGCCCAACTCACGTCTCGGGACATCAAGGAGAGGAGGTAGTGGGAGGGAGAGGCTAAAAGCAGGAGAAAGGTGAGCTGCTGGGGCTGGCATGCACTCAGAACCACGGGAAGAACAAACCACACAAGAGGAACAGCTGTTTTTCTAGCGGGTTTTTCTCAAGCGGGTCTCTCAGTGTTGCAGCTGCTGCAGGCTTTGCAGGGCTTCAGCACAAGCCCGGATGAGGCCACACAGCTGGATGCTGGCCTCCAGGGAAGTGCTGGAGCCCAATTCGGCCGAGGCCCAGGCCAGCTTCTGCAGGAGGGCCTCCCGGGTGCTGGCCATGACGTCTGCATTTGGAGGCCCAGCAGGAGGGGCCGGCCCCTGGGCTGCCTGGAGCCCTGCCGCAGCTCCCTCACAGTGCTCTGGGCGGGGTACTGGGGGCTGAGGGGCGGGCCGAGTGCCTGAGGGGGGGTCCGGGGCAGAGGCGAGCTGGTGCTCCCGAGCTTGGGAGAGGGCAGCCTGGGCATTCAGAGCTAAAAGAGTAGAAACCGAATAGAATGGTCAGGATGCCCCGCCCACCTCGGCCCTGAGCCTCCTCCTACCTCTCTACTGCTCTGCTCTCTCCGTGCTTCAGATGTGTTCCCTGCCGCTGGATAGGGCAACTCATTCGTTTGCTTTTTCTGTCCTATTTACGCATGTCCTGGAGTCATCTGTCTCATCAGGACTATCGCTCCTGGAGCTGGGACCCTCCCTTGTGTCTGGCCCACAGCAATGCTCATCGCTCTTACTGAATGGATGCTCCTTACGGAGCTAAAAGAGAAAGCGTCTCACCTCCGTCCCACCCAAGGCCGCCACTGTCCCCTCCCAGCACTGCGGTCCCCAGGGTTCTATCACCACGCTTCTCCACCCGGCACGCGCAGCCCCTCACCCGGATTGTCCTTATCCACGTCTGAATCGAGCTCCTGACAAGCCACGCAGTAGGTCTGCCGCTGTTTGTTTTGGAGGAGGATGGTCTATGGGTCAGAAAGCACAGGGGCGGGATGAGACGCCAGGCAATAAGGGCCGGAGAGACGAGGCTGGGGAAGGGCCGTGCGGCCTGGTCTGCGCCCCATCCCTGCTCCCGCACTCCGAGGCCGTCCTCACCCCACAGTCCGCGCACGTGTCGCCCAGCATGCGGTAGCCACGCAGCAGGTAATCGCCCATGAGCGAGGAGATGCGGTTCTGCCGCTCCCGCCGAGCTTGCAGCACCTTCGTCTCCGCTTCGGTCGGAGGCTCCCAGGAGAAATCGTCGACTTCTGGGGAAAGAAAGGCACAAGGGGCCTGGTGCTCTCGCCGGAGCAGGTGGCCCCCGGACCCCGCGGCCGCGGACCCCGCAGCTCAGGCCCTCACCTGTACCGTTCAGGGCCATGTTGCCGTTGTCGCCGCTCGGCTCAATGGAAGTGACGCACCGGCAGAGCGCCGGTCCCCGGCTCCGCCCCCTCCGTGTGGGCGGGGGACGAGGGCGGAAATGACGCCCAGAAGCTTCCCGGAAGTCCCGACGCCCCGAGTTAGGCGCGTTGCTGTAGCCCAACCGACGCCGTTCCCCCACGGGAACCCAGGAGGCGGGACTTCCCCGCGGTGACTCCGCTCCGCCGCGGCGCACGGGAGTGACTGCGCAGGCGCCGTCCTGCGCGCCGGCTCCGCCCCCGGGGTTTCCCTTTCCGCACTGGCGGGACCCTGGACGGGCGCGGCCGTGGCGTCACCGCTACGACACCCTCGCTTCTGGCCCACGGGCCCTCGCCCGCGCGTGGAGCCTTTTCAGGCCTCAGTACTTATCCCTTCAGCCCGCAAGGCGGGCCGGCAGGCACCATTCCCACTCTCCATTCCGTTCAGCCTGTTTGCATGTTTGGTGCCTCCGTCTCTTCAGCCCCTACCCACCCTAAGGCCCGGGACTGATAGCAGAGTCAGCTCCTAACTTTTTTTTTTTTTTTTTTTTAAGTTAAGCCCTCAAAAAGTCTGGTGTGTAAAACACTGCACTGGGCATACGCAGTTCCGGGAGCGGCCACAGCTGCGGAATGCTTGTTGGCGAGTGAGGGTGCAGGGCTTGTTTCACGTGTCGGTAACCATATGCCTTTCTTGGGTCGATTGCTATTAAAATTACTCGTGCTCCCTAACATTGGTCTTGGTGATTGTTTTCTATTTTCTCCGTCCTTTTCCATACACGTCCTCTCCCTTTTTAGGTTTGGCGAAGCCAAGTGGGACAGGCAGATGCGCAGGCCATCCCATAATCTCATCTGCAGCCTCCTCCTTTGGTTGGACAGCACAAGCTTCTGCAATAAACCTGAAGAATGAGTGCCCTCCCAGCCCCATCTTTTTAAAATATATATATATTTTTTTTATTATTAAGTTTTTTCAGAGAGGAAGGGAGATGTGCCCTACTGGGGATGTGCCCACAACCAAGGTACATGCCCTTGACTGGAATCGAACCTGGGACCCTTCAATCTGCAGGCCAGTGCTCTATCCACTGAGCCAAACCAGTTAGGGCCCCATCTTCTTATACAAACATTGGAGCTGCCATTTTGCCCTAGCCAGTTGCTCAGTGGTTAGAGCATTGACTTGTGTACCAAAGGGTCCCTGGTTCATTTCTGTCAAGAGCACGTACCTCAGTTGCAGACTCCATCCTGGCCCTCACACCCTGCATTCAGGAGGCAAACAACTGATGTGTTTCTCTCATACTGATGTTTCTCTTTCTCTGTCTCCCTTCCTTCCACTTTCTCTAAGAATCAATGGAAAAATATGCTTAGGTGAGAATGAACAAAAATAAGAAAACGGGCAGAAACCGGTTTGGCTCAATGGATAGAGTGTCGGCTTGGGGACTGAAAAATCCCGGGTTCGATTCCAGTCAAGGGCATGTACCTTAGTTGCGGGCATATCCCCAGTAGAGGATGTGCAAGAGGCAGCTGATTGATGACTCTCTCTCATTGATGTTTCTAACTCTCTATCCCTCTCCCACTCTGTACAAAATCAATAAAATATATTTTTTTAAAAAAAGAAGAAAAAAAAAGAAAACGGGACTGCCATTTTCTGATCCTTGCTGCCTCTTGCTTGGAGAGCCTGAGCCCTCTTTGCTCTCGCCCTCTCCTGGCAGCGTCCCTGACTCGGGACCTGGCCTCACGTCAGTCCTGCCAAGCTGACGAGAGAAATTCTTGAATTCTAACCTGTATTCGTAGACCTTCCAGGTCCTCGCTGTCTTCGGCTCCCAGTCCCACCCTGAATTCTTCAGTGCACCTTCTGTGTCATCGTCATGGCCAATATCCACTCAACAGCCTGTCTGCCTGGCACCAGCGGAGACCTTACACCCATCCTCCCACTTAGTCCCTTTCATTTCCTCATGACAACCTTAGGGCGGGCGATACTACAGCGAGCCCCATTTTACAGAGCAGGAAACTGAGTAATTCTATTTAAATAGAAATCAAATCATGTCACTATTTTGCTTAAAACCCTCTGGCATCTCCCCATCACATTTAGATGAAAATACAAAGTCCTTACTGTGGTTTCCGAGGTCCTACAAAGCTGGCCCTCAGCCCTCTCAGCGCCTCCCACCCTCCCTGCATTCTTCCTCTCCCCTTTCTCCGCTCAGGGCCACTCCCTGCCTCAGGTTCGCAGGAGGGTGGGCCAGGCACAGGCCTGGAAGCAGGCAGGCCCAGGTTTGATCCTGAGTCTCTGCTTCCTGGCTGCCACCTGGAGTGGCTTACCTCACCTCTCTGGACTTCAATCACTCATCTGCCCAGCAGGCATCAGACCTGTGAGCAGGGCAGTTCTGGCTGGAAGGCAGGCAGTGTGGCTGAGGCTGCTGAGCTGAGAAGTCCCAAACGTGAAGTAGATAATGTCAGGAATAGCCCGGCCGCCCAATAGAGTTTTCCGCTAACTGGGGAAACAAGTCACAGCTGACCAAACCATCTAGCCCAGTGGTCAGCAAACTCATTAGTCAACAGAGCCAAATATCAACAGCACAACGATTGAAATTTCTTTTTCAAATATATTTTATTGATTTTTTAGAGAGGAAGGGAGAGGGATAGAGAGCTAGAAACATCGAAAGAGAACCATCGACCAGCTGCCTCCTGCACACTCCCTACCAGGGATGTGCCCGCAACCAATGTACATGCCCTTGACTGGAATCGAAGTTTAAACTTAAACTTCTAACCTCCCAGGACCGCGTCTGGCGAGTGGCTCATATTCTGCCAGCTTCGGAGACGGGAGGAAAAACAGGCCTGGCAGAGGCACCCGTTCCATTCCCTGCTTGCTCGGTAGCTGGTGATTGGAAGGCACTCTGCGACAGTGAAAAAAATAAATAAATAAATAAAAATAAACTTAAACTTCTTCTAAAGCCACTTCTTCAAAACTGACTCACCCAGGCCATGGTATTTTGTGGAAGAGCCACACTCAAGGGGCCAAAGAGCCGCATGTGGCTTGAGAGCACAGCTTGCCGACCACGGATCTAGACTCTAGAGCACTCTGCAGATGTCCAGAATCAAGCTGTTGATGGACCTTGCACTGCCCAGATGGTCTCCATCATTGTACGTGGCAGCATGCCAACCATCACTGAGTGGGCACTTAAGTGAAGGACTCTGACCTCTGGGTCCTTCCCCATCCTTGACAGGGGTGGGCATGTACAAGGTCCCAGAAGCGCCGGTGATAAACCCAACTCACAGCAGTCATGGTCGGCAGACCAGTGGCCTGGGAAGCAGTGAACTTGGACTCGGTCATACCCTTCCCCCACCAAATAATTCAGCACACCCTCTTGTGAGCCGCCCACACCTGTGGACTGCTGGCATGGCAGTCGTGAGGCCCGTTCCTGAGCGACAGCACACACATTGGTGGCACTTTCACACACAGCTCAGTTACCATCGTGACTGCCTCACGTGGCAGCCAGTGGCTTACGCTGCATAGCAGTGGCTCTGAAAAATCCTCACTTACATTGTTGTGTTTTCACACTAACAGTTTCTGAAAAGGGGTCAACTTTCCTTTTGTTTTTTCACTGCAGTGTGAATTTTTAAATATATATATATATTTTATTGATTTTTTACAGAGAGGAAGAGAGAGGAATAGAGAGTTAGAAACATCAATGAGAGAGAATCATCGATCAGCTACCTCTTGCACACCCCCTACTAGAGATGTGTCCGTAACCAAGGTACATGCCCTTGCCCGGAATCGAACCCGGGACCCTTCAGTCCCTAGGCCGACGCTCTATCCACTGAGCCAAACCGGTTTTGGCACTGCAATGTGAATTGATATGACATCGCTGTGAAACAGGCAAGGGCCAGATGATGCAGTGATAAAGATAAGAATACTCAACTTTTGGTGTGTTTTTCTTTGGGTCTGGCACTGTGCTGAGTTTTTCATGAATTCTCTCATTTAATCCTTAGGACAAGGCTTAGATCTTATCATTATTCCAAATTTGCAGGTGGGGAAGCCGAGGCTTGGACGGATAAAGCCAGTGGTCGGCAAACTGTGGCTCTTCGGCCCCTTGAGTGTGGCTCTTCCGCAAAATACCACGTGCGGGCACCCACGCGCAGTGTGATTGAAACTTCATGGCCCATGCGCAGAAGTCGATTTTCGGCTCTCAAAAGAAATGTCAATCGTTGTGCTGTTGATATTTGGCTCTGCTGACTAATGAGTTTGCCGACCGCTGGGTTAAGCAGTTTATCCAGGGCCTCTCTGCTGGGTTGTGGCCGGGCTCCACCCAGGCAGCACACTCGGCCGCCTCATTCTCACCAGTGGGCTGGGCCTGCATTTGAAAAGCGGAGACGAGGGGCAGAGCTGGAATCCTCTCTGATGTATCAGGAGTGAAGGCAGCCCTGCAGCGTGGCTCAGTGGCTGAGCGTCGACCTATGAACCAGGAGGTTGCAGGCTCGATCCCCAGTGTGGGGCGTGCAGGAGGCAGCCAGTCAATGATTCTCTCTCATCATTGATGCTCTCTCTCTTCCTCTCCCTTCCACTCTGAAATCAATAGAAATATATATATTTCTTTCTTTTTTTCTTTTTTTAAAGAGTGAAGATAGGTTCCTTTCGTTTCCCAAGCCCATTGCTCAGTGCCTTCATCACAGTATCTGGCACATCAGATGGCCTCAGTGACAGCCACGCTCAGCAAAGTGTCAGGGGAGACACAGGCCTCCAGGGCAGCATGTCCCCTGCAGGCCTCTGACATCTCCAGCCTCATCTTTAGAACGGATGTGCAGTCCCCAGCTACCACCCCCAGTGCCTAGAAGCTTCCCAAAAACACGCAGCGAGCAGAGAGGAGGCACAGAGCGGGGCCACGGCCAGCTCTTCCAATGGCACCTCTCCTCCCGCAGCCGCCATCTGGGCTCCCGGACCCGGACGCTGGGGAGGAGCATTTGCGTACGGAGTGCTCATTGCGTGGCCGGCACCTGCTGAGCACGTCCTACATGTAAGCACATTTGGTTCTCCGCTTAGAAACCAGGAAATGGAAGCATAGAGAAGTTGAGAGACGTTCCCAATTCACACATCGGGTACAGGACGCAGCCAGGAAAACTCGGTGCCAGAAACCAACCGCTGTGCGAGCCGCCTCCTGAAGCGTAGCTTCCCTCATGCAGGCGGCGGCTGCCTGTGCAGCCAATTCCCCCGCCCAGGCATGAGGGGCCCGGGTTGGAGTCCCGGCTCTCCAGGTGACCAGCTGGGTCACTTCAGCCAAGCCGCTGGCCTCTCCTGGGCTTCAAGAAGCCTCTGCATAAGGACCCTTCCCCACCGCCTAACCAGTCCAGCCTGTCCCCGGGCCCTTTGTCCCATGCCAAAGCCCGTCACTGCCCTGGGGCCCATGCACCTATTTGAGGACACCGGCGGGTCGCCTCGGGAGCGCTGTGCAGGTTTTGGGTCAGGAAGACCTGAGCTCAGGCCCCACATCTTACCACCCAGTGGCCGGAGTCCACCCAGTGGCAGAGCCGCGGTGCCCCCTGTGCGGCGCAGCTGGGGGGATGCCACGCGGTAACCGTGTGAAGTGCACAGTGAGTGCTGGTGCTTTTGTGGCCTCGCTCCAGTCACTCACAAACGTCCGCAGCCTCTGGGTGCGGCCTGAGCTGAGATCTGGAGTTCGTGCCATCGTGGGAGGTCAGTGAGGTAGACGGTGAGCAAACAGTCGAACTCATAACGTTTCAAGTTGTTTCCAG